GGGGTGCGATCTCGGCTCACTGCAACCTTCGCCTCCTGGGTTCAAGCAATTCTCCTGCATCAGCCTCCCAAGTAGCTGGGATGACAGGCACCCACCACCACGCATGGCTAATTTTTTGTATTTTTAGTAGAGATGGGGGTTTCACCATCTTGGCCAGGCTGGTCTTGAACTCCTGACCTCGTGGATCCACCCACCTCAGCCTCCCAAAGTGCTGGGATTACAGGCGTGAGCCACCGCGCCCAACGTAGCAGCCTTTTCAAATTGGCTTCTTTCACTTAGTGATATGCATGTAACTTTCCTCTGCATCTTTTCATGGTTTGATAGCTCATTTCTTTTCAGTGCTGAATAATATTTCACTCTTTGGATGTATGACAGTTTCTTTATCCATTCACCTACCGAAGGACATCTTGGTTGTTTCTAGATTTTGGTAATTATGAATAAAGCTGACATAAACATCCGTGTGCAGGTGTGCATACATTTTCACCTCATTGAGAAAATATGATGGAGTATGATTGCTGAATCATTTGGCAATGATTAGTTAAAAAACTGTCAAACTGTCTTCCAAAGTGGCTGTACCATTTTGCATTCTCACCAACAGAGTTTCTGTTGCTCCACATCTTTCCCAGTATTTGTGGGTTTTTTTGTTTGTTTGTTTTGTTTTTTTTTGCATGTGTGTGTGTATGTGTTTAGATGGCCGGGCTGGAGTGCAGTGGCACTATCTCGGCTCACTGCAACCTCTGCCTCCCAGGTTCACGTGATTCTCCTGCTTTAGCCTCCCGGGTAGCTGGGACCACAGGGATGTACCACCATGCCTGGCTAATTTTTGTATTTTTAGTAGAGACGGGGTTTCACCATCTTGGCCAGGCTAGTCTTGAACTCCTGACCTCAAGTGATCCATCCGCCTCAGCCTCCCAAAGTGCTGGGATTACAGGTGTGAGCCACCACGCCCGGCCTCCCTTGGCAGTATTTGGTGTTGTCAGTGTTTTGGATTTTGGCCATTCTAACAGGTGTGTAGTTCCTCCCTTCCTTTTTTATTTTTTATTTTTTTAAAGCCACTTTATTGAGGTAGGATTGACATGTAAAAAGTTGTACATAGTCAGTGTATACAACTTGATGAGTTTGGGAGTTATCTCCCGTCTTTGTAAGATACCTTTTGGAAGTTAACAAATAAAATATTATATTCCATGGCCAGGACTTAGTCCCATGACCACAGTTAGCTGCCAGGTAGGAAATGTAGTCTTTATTCTGGGTGGCCAAGTGGCCATCTGAAAAGTCAGGTTTCTTGTGGAGGAAGAAGAGAGAATGGACACTGGGAGCCACCCAGTGATCTCTGCCACATTATAGGGAAGGGAAATCTCAAACTTGCTTAAAGGAACTTTGTTGGGTGGGTTCCGGGGTATTTTATGGAATTTCACCAAAGACATGATGTGTGGAGTTTGCCTCTGAAGAGGCAGCATCTGGAAAGTTGCCAGAAATCAGCACCGTTCTTCCTCTTCTGCCTTGCTGCGGCGGTATGCGGCTCGTTCACTTCTTTCTACACATCTGCTCCATTCTTTTCTCTCTGCATGTGGCAGGAAGGACATCCCCGCTTTAGCATTTCAGTCAGTTAACTAGCTTTCCAGAGCCCAATTCCAAAGTCCTTGGAGAGAGACTCTGATTGGTCCAGCTTGGATCAGGTGGGAGAGAGAATCTGATTGGTTTAGCTTGAATCAGGTGTCTGTTGAGTCTGGCTAGAACAAACAAGGCTGCAGGGGTCCACCTCCAGAGGAAAGGAGGGCAGTTTTCAGAAAATGGGTGTCATGGGATGGGAAGACTCCTCAAAATATATCTAGAGCAGAACATATTCCTCTCAGGTCCATGTCCCAGGACTTTGCAAACCGTCATTCATTTAGGTAAACATTTATTGAGCACCTTCTGTGTGCTAGGCACATGGATCTGCCCTCTAGGGATTTTGGAAATCTCTTTGGAAATTGTTCATATCTTTTTCTTTTTTTTTGAGATGAAGTCTCACTCCCATTGTGCAGGCTGGAGTGCAGTGGTGCAATCTCAGCTCACTGCAACCTCCACCTCTCGGGGTTCAAGAGATTCTCCTTCCTCAGCCTGCCGAGTAGCTGGGATTACAGGTGTGCACCACTATTCCCGGCTAATTTTTGTATGTTAAGTAGAGACAGTGTTTCGCCATGTTGGCCAGGCTGGTCTTGAACTCCTGACCTCAGGTGATCCACCACCTTAGCCTCCCAAAGTGCTAGGATTACAGGCGTGAGCCACACTGTGCTGGCCCAGTTCTTCATATATTTAACCTGAATTGTCTGTTAGAGCAAAATCATAGCTCTTTAAATTACTCATCTTTTAGCTTTCCAGGTTTCAAGATGGGGATCAAGGGATTTGGTAAACACATGCTTCTGTTTCCCCATCTGGATTTTGGGGAACCATAGAGATGGCCATGTTTTCTCTTTTTTTTTTTTTTTCTTTTTCTGTTGACCAGTTTAGAAAGAAATGTTCTCCCCTCCTTGTCTTTGTCCCTTTAGTAAGAAACATTTTGGTTGTTTTTTGTTGTTTGCTTTGTTTTTTGAGACAGGGTCTCCCTCTGTCACCCATGCTGGAGTGCAGTGGCACAGTCAGGGCTCACTGAAGCTTTGACCTCCCCAGGCTCAGGTGATCCTCCCACCTCAGCCTCCCAAGTAGCTGGGACTATAGGCACATGCCACCACATGGAGATGGGGTTTTGCCAAGTTGTCCAGGCTGGTCTTGAAGTCCTTGGCTCAAGTGATCCTCCTGCTTTGGCCTCCCCAGGTGCTGGAATTACAGGTGCACACCACCACACCCAGCTAATTTATTTGTTTATTTTTTCTTTTCAGTAGAGACAAGGTCTCACTATATTGCCTAGGCTAGTCTTGAACTCCTGGTCTCAAGTGATCCTCTTGCCTCGGCCTCCCAAAGTGCTGGGATTATAGGCATGAGCCACCATGCCCAGCCTCATGTTTTAACCAACTCAAATATGTTGCCCTCTCCTTAATCTACCTGATTCTTTTGTTTTCTTTCTTCAGCCCTGGGATGGGCCTCCATGGGTCTCAAATATGAAAGTGTCTCAAGTTCACACCTGAGGAGGAAAATGTTAGGTTTCTAGCCCCTGTAGGAAAAGAACCCAGAACTTGGCAGACCTTTCTAGCATCAGCAGCAGCAGATGATAATGATCACCGGTGCTGTTCATTGAGGACATACTCCATGTCCAGCACCAAGCTAAATCCTGTATGTGCATCCTCTCATACATATAGCCCTCATACCAACCCTGAGAGGTAGGCATCGATTTCCCCATTTTACACATGGCTAATCAGGAAGCTCAGAAAGAACAGGCAACTTGTACCTGGGCACGGTGGCCCATGTCTGTAATTCCAGCACTTTGGGAGGCCGAGGCAGGTGGATCACTTGAGGTCAGGAGTTTGAGACCAGCCTGGCCAACACAAGGAAACCCCGTCTCTACTAAAAATACAAAAAATTAGCCAGGTGGCGGGTGCCTGTAATCCCAGCTACTCAGGAGGCTGAGGCAGGAGAACTGCTTGAACCTGGGAGGCAGAGGTTGCAGTGAGCCAAGATTGTGCCACTGCACTCCAGCCTGAGCGACAAGAGCAAAACTTTGTCTCAAAAAAAAAAAAAAAAAAGAATAAGTAACTTGTTCAAGGTCACATAGCCCCCGAGTAGTGGAGCTGAGCTTCAAAACTAGACCCCCCTTACTCCAGAGGCTTCCCACGTGCCACAGGCCTCTGAGAACACTCCACATTGCCTCTGAGGTCTGCCCCATGCATGTCCTCCTGTGGGTATCATTTTGCATCTTTGGCGGTACCATTTTGAATGTGTTTACTAACTCTTGTCATGTAACTCTGGAAATCAGACTCTGATCCCATTTTATTTTTGTCATTGGAAAGAACAGCTGGGCTGGGGTCAGGGTGGGGCTGTGGTACATGGATGGAGCACTGTTCTGTTGCACCAGGGAAGTCCAGCTCTGCGGCTTCCCCACCATGTGACTCTGGGTAAGGGCCTCCCCTCTCTTGGCTTCAGTTTTCTCATCTATGGGCCCTTTCCAGCTCTGACATTCTGTGCTTTCCAACTTAACTGTGCATTTCACAAGGATTTCATGAGGTTGTCAACTTCCACCCCCCACTGAAAGAGGGAGTGTGTCTGGGAAGTTGCCCATCTAGGCTGAGCCTGCCTGGGACATGTGAGACTTGGTTCTTGTCATCACATCTCTGGCCTTTCCCACATTCTGATGTTTGTTCTGCAGTCTCTGGGCTTTGGGGTTATCTGGTGGTGTCTCTCCAGTTCTCCTCAGTGGGGCTGAAGTGTGCTCCCTCCACCCTCTGCCATCTCCCCAGATCCGGGTAACTGAATGCCTCCAACCCCTCTCTGCTCACCCATAGCATCCTGGCCTCTTCCTCCTTGTCCTGACATAACTGTTTATTGAGCCTGGGGTTTGGTGAACAAGTGTCCCCTGCTTTTATCTTAAGGGAAGATAGAGATGTCTGTGTTCTCCCCTGTGGCCTTTTGCTCAACATTTTGTACATATTTACAGATCATTCATCTGCTCAGCAACTCCACAAGTCCCCTAGTATCATCCCATTTTGTAGACAAGGCACTTAAGGCTAAGAGAAGTTAACAGATTTGTCTAACGGACACACCGGCTAGTGCCAGAGGCAAGATTCAAACCCAGGCCTGGCACACCCTGTCATGCCACATGACTTTGACTCACTACATTTACGTTGCATTGGATTCAGGGAGAAAAGTCCGTGGTCTTCTTGGGGTGGTGTGACTGGTCTCTGGTTTCTGTGTGTTTTTTTGTTTGGTGGGGTAAATAGGAGGACCCTAGAGAGAAGTTCCAGAGGACAGCAAAACTCAATGTATTTGTTTGGGGGTGTGGGGGTTGGGAATCACAGAGACAGGGTTCCTGAAGGAAGCACCTTCTTCCAGCTCAGCATCCCTGAACGTCTATCCACATTTGCTTCTAGATCTTGGAAGGAGACCAAGCCATCCTGCAGAGAATAAAGAAGGCTGTGCGGGCAATCCACAGCTCCGGCCTTGGTAAGGGAGCCTGCTGGGTGCCCCTCCTGGTCAGGAAACTCCTCTCCCAGCCCTAGCCTGGAGCTAACTCCAAGCTCCCGTCCGTACCTCCACAGGCCATGTGGAGAATGAAGAGCAGTACCGAGAGGCCGTGGAATCCTTAGGCAACAGCCACCTGTCCCAGAACAGCCATGAGCTGTCCACAGGCTTCTTGAACTTGGCCGTGTTCACCCGCGAGGTTGCCGCACTCTTCAAGAACCTGGTGAGGCCCCTGTCTCTTCCTTGCCCAGCCCTCAGCCGGACTCAGGGTAAATCTCGTGGTCTTAAGAACCTGACTGGGAAAGAGTCCGTTTCCTTCCTTCTCCCGATTTTCCCTTGACCTCTGATCCATGATCTGAGGTCCCTTTTCAGCCCTGACCCTTCTTTTGGATAATCCTCCTTTCTCTCTGGCTTCTTACCCAACTAACTCTTCTCTCTCTGTTCTCCTCCTTCTCTTCACCCAGGAGCAGAGGAGGGTCTTACAGCAGGGAAGAGCCCCATGCAAGGGAGAGTTCCCTGGAGGAGCTTTGGGATAAAGGAGAGAAAGGCTTGGGGGGTCCTACCTTTATACCGCTACTACTGCCACCGCCACCGCCACCTCCTCTCCTCAGTCCCTCTTTATCCTCTGCTTTCCCAATCACATCTGCTTCGTACTCAAATCCCAGGACCCGTCCCTGCCCCACAAGCCTCTCAGCCCCTGCACATGGCCCAGTGGCCTCAGGTTGCTTCCTGATGGCCCCCTTGGTGACTGCCTCCTCTCTGGTCCTTCAAGTCCTCGCCTCAAGGCCGTCCTGTGATAGCAGCTCTTCCCATGTGCAGGCACAGTTCTCACTACTTCACATGTTCACTCATTCAATCCAAGGTGCACAGCTCTGTGGGACTTGTGTGACTGTTGTCTCCACCTTACAGGCTAGGAAACTAGGACCTCCAGGTTAAGCAGCTTGCCCGAGGTCACACGGTTTGGTCTGAACCCAGGTTGTCTGACTCCAGAATCCAAGCATAAGCCTGGCTGCACTGCCTCCCAGGAAAGCCTCTTGTCTCCCTCCAGGCTATGGCACTGGACCAGCTCTTGTGGCTCCAGTCCTACCCAGCATCCTCCCTGGTTGGCAGGGGCCACATCACCCTTGAGAGGCAGTGTGCTCAGTGGTTAAGCACCCAACCTTGGACTTAGACTCCGTCTTGGAATCCCCACTCTGCTACTTACTAAGTCAAGTCACTCAGTCTGCCCAAGCCTCAGATCTCTCATCTATGAAACTGGGATAATAATGCTACCAACCTCACAGGGCGGTAATGAGGATTAAGCAAGTTAGTGCCTACTTTATGGTAAGCGCTCAGTAAATGTTGGCTAATATTATATTAATGGCAAAACAGCAATGAGTTTTGCATCAACCTAATAAAATCTGTCATTGTTATAGCTCTTGGCATAGCTGTGCCTCGTACACTGTACTGCATGTAAAAGCCTTTAACAATGTTTGAGGCCAGGTGCAACAGTTCACACCTTAATCCCAGCACTTTGGGAGCCTGAGATGTGCAGACTGCTTGAGCCCAGGAGCTCTAGACCAGCCTAGGCAATGTAGTGAGACCCTGTCTCTACAAAAAAGTGTGAAAATTGCTGGGTGAGGTGGCTCACGCCTGTAATCCCAGCACTTTGGGAGGCCGAGGTGGGCGGATCACTTGAGGTCAGACATTCGAGACCAGCCGGGCCAACATGGTGAAACACTGTCTCTACTAAAAAATACAAAAATTAGCTGGGCATAGTAGCAGGTACCTGTAATCCCAGCTACTCAGGAGGCTGAGGCAGGAGAATCACTTGAACCCGGGAGGTGGAGGTGGCAGTGAGTTGAGATCACACCACTGCACTCCAGCCTGGGTGACAGAGTGAGACTCCATCTCAAAAAAAAAAAAAAAAATTAGCCAGGTGTGGTGACGTACACCTGTGGTCCCAGCTACCTGGGAGGCTGAAGTAGGAAGATCAGTTGAGCCTGGGGGAAGTTGAGGCTGTAGTGAGTGTGATCACACCACTGTGCTCCAGCCTGGGCGATAGAGTGAGACCCTGTCTCAAAAAAAAAAAAAAATAGTATATGAGTTCAATTGAATTAGTGTCCTCCTTTGTCTTCACCTCTTCTCTCCCTGTTTCAGTCAAACTAGTGTTTCCTGGGGGTCTGCTGTCTGGTGGGCATTGTACCAGGGGTTGGTGATGCAGGAAAGTGTCAGACTGCCTCAGAGAGCCACAGTCTAGTCGGGGAGAGAAGAACTAACGTGTGGACTAGTATCAAGAAATACCAGCAGCATGGTACAAACTCAAGGACCCAGCAGCTGGTGTCAGAGGCCTAGTGTTGTCATGGTTCAGAAAAGGGGAGATCAGGCAGGAGGAGTAGCCAGGAGAGGCTTCCTGGAGGAGAAGTTGAGACCCAAGCTGTATTTTGGAAGCTGGTTGAAATATTAGGCCTCTTTAGGTTGTGAAATTACAGAAACCCAACTCAAACTAGGTTACATTTTAAAAAGGGAATTCATTAGCCCCTGTAATGGGGAGTCCAGGGGTGCAGCTGGCTTTCCTTTTAAGATAGTTTCTCTGTCTCTGCTCAGTGGGCAGGATAGCCCAGCAGGCCCGGATGCCCATCTTACCAGAATGAAGACGGTCTTTCTCCCATGACTTAGGCAGAAAAATCCCAGAGAGGATTGTGATTGGCTGGCTTGGGTTGCGTGCCTGTTCCCTATCCAGTCCCTCTATCCTGGGACTGGGGTGCCCTGCTCAGATCTGGCTTCTGCGTTTACCCCATCTGACCACAGAGGAGGAGTTCCCCACAGGAAAGGGGGTTCTATGACCATTAGTAAGGGAGGCTCTGAAGCGTTAGCCAGCCCAGAACAACAGATGTGCTCTACTGGTCAACTCGAGAGAGTCAGAGAGGAGAAGGGAGGCTGCTTCTGGAGAGGAACAGGGGAGAGACTGACCATGGGATGCTGCTGGAGCAGTGCAGCAATGAGGCTGGAGCCATCAGGGGAGGGGCTCACTCCGACATGCCTCGGCCTCCCCTCCTGCCCCCTTTCACACAGGAAGCCTGGTGGGCAGCAGGTCAGCCATCCTAAGCTGACCCCAAAGCCGGGTCCTCTAGTCCTCCCCAGGCTCAGCATTCCTGCCATGACGGCCCTTCTCACTTGGCTGTCATCTCTTTGATGATATCTCTTCCTCTCCCCTGCTTCCCTTCCCCACTGCTCTCTTTGCCAAGTGATGCTTCACCATACCCCGAATCCCTGGGGGCTGGATGCCAGTCACCTGAGGTAGGAATGGGCGTCTGTTTTTTCCAGATTCAGAACCTGAACAACATTGTCTCTTTCCCCCTGGACAGTCTGATGAAGGGACAGCTGAGGGACGGTCGACAGGTGAGTCTCCATGCTGGGAGTGGTGTTGGGACAGAGTGAAAGAGGGGTGGGCAGGAGACTGTCAGGGGGCAGGGCTGGACTGAGGGTGGAGGCCAAGTGAAGGCGCTGTGTTAGCGGGAGTGCTGAGCCTGGGGAGATCTGGAGGACCTGGCTCGGGCCAGCCTAGGATGGCTGACCTGCTGTCTGCCAGGCCCCTTGTGTGAAACGTGTCTTGTAAATCTTACAACCATACTATGAGGTAGGCTTTGTGGGTACGCTCATCCCCATTTTGCAGTTGAAATTCGAGGCCTAGGGAGTTAGGTAACCTGCTGATGGTTTACATAGCTAGGAAGCAGAGAGCCCATGTGGGAATCTAGGGATCCTGACTCCCATACTCGAGCTGTTCTCTCTGTGCCTGGCAGCCCTTGGCTGGATGCAGAGTGGAGCTCAAAGAAGGTGACAGAATAATCTCCCTGGGCAATCTGCCCCAGACGGCCCAGGGGAGGAGCCATGCTCCCCCAAGAGGGTTCCCTCCCTGCCCGAGGCTGCCAGCCTGGCACCAGTCTGCTAACCACACAAACCAGACAGGCAGCTTTTTCACCTTGGGAGTCTCAGGGTTATTCAGAAGGGTGTGAGCAGCCTGGCTAGATGAGGCTTAGGCAAGCTAGGTGGGGAGTAGCCAGGTCTCCCTGGCTTGCTGTATGGCCTTGGGTAGACTTCTCAACCTTTCTGTGCATGTTCCTTGACCTGTACCCTTGCTCTAAGAGGATGATCTAGCACCAGGCAGGAGAAAATACTGGGATAAAGTTAGGCGGGGGGAGTTTGGCCTTCATCCTCCCATCCTCATGGTCATGACTGATCTCTCTTCTGAGCAAGAGGACTCAGGGTAGAGCCCAAAGATCTCTCCATACCTCAAGCCAGGGCCCACCAAACCTGACTGATTCTTGGCATCTCTGGGGAGGAGAAGGTCTGCTGGGAGGAGGGCCTCAGCCCTGAGAAATGGGGTCAGCTGAGCCTGTTTGGTGGGGGCAGGTTTGCAGCAGGACTGTGGGGGCAGGGGCTGGTTAGAGATGGCTCTGAGCTGCTCAGGGGAGCACACTAGCATGTCCCCCTACAGGCAGTAGAGCATACTGTTTATTCCAGTGCTCCAGCTTCCCTTTGGGCAAATTGTCCTTTTTTAACCCACAGGATTCCAAAAAGCAGCTGGAGAAGGCATGGAAGGACTATGAAGCCAAAATGTAAGTAGCCACAGCCAGGGTGGTTTGTCCAGGAGAGTAGCGCTTACACTGCAGCAGGGGGCTGGATAGGGAAGAACCTAAATGCTGCTGAGACATGTTATCCAGAAGTGGGTGGCATCTGGCTCTGTAGAGGCCTTTACAGGGGATTGTTTATACCCAGACCTGACTGGATTCTGGGGACTGGGCCATGAGACCACCAAAGGAGCTATTGTGAAGGGACCTCAGGATGCTGCTCTCAGAGTCCCATCTGCTCAGTGGTGCCAGACATGGGCAGGGATGGAGAGGAGCTAGCACTGACTGAACACCTCTGCGTGCTGGCCATTTAATCCTCACAGTCACCCAGTCATGTGAGAGAGAGGTATTAGTATCACAGTTACCACAGCAGGACTCAGAGAGGTTAAGTCACTTGCCCAAGGCACCACAGCTTGGCAGAGGCAGAACTGGGGTTTATATCTCTTGTTCCTCGTTCTTCAATGCCAGGTGGTATATCTAGAGGAGCAAATGGAGTTGATGTCACACTCAGGCTTCCTGTGTCCTATGCACACCACACGATGCTCCAGATCTCTCACCAGCTACTGGGACATCATAGGGAAAGAAGGAGCTCAGGCAACCAGTGGCCAGTTCCTCCTGGGCAGAGACTCCTTGGGCTCTGTCTTCTGAGGAGTCTGTCCAGATCCCAGCCCTCACCCTCTGCCCAGCCAGGCCCATACTGTGGAGCATTGTTTGTGCCTTTTTGTAAAATTTTGTTTTCTCTTGCATTTTGCCAAAGCAATTTATGCTTATTATGAATAATTCAGAAGATGTGGAGAAGTAAAAGAAGAAAAAAAATTAATTATCCTTAGCAGAGGATTAGGGTCATGGCAGGGGGATAATACTCTCTGTTGTTTGAATTTTTTTTTTTTTTTACAAGGTCTGGGTAACATTGCAATTTTCATGATTAAAAAAAAAAAGTCGGATGGGGAGAAACTACCCAAAAATAGGAGGAAAATTCTTAATTTTCAAGCCTAAAGTATTAACATTTTAACATTTCTTTTTCTTTTTCTTTTTCTTTTTTTTTGAGACAGAGTCTCACTCTGTCGCCCAGGCTGGAGTGCAGTGGCCGGATCTCAGGTCACTGCAAGCTCCACCTCCATTCTCCTGCCTTAGCCTCCCGAGAAGCTGGGACTACAGGCGCCCACCACCTCGCCTGGCTAGTTTTTTGTATTTTTTAATAGAGACAGGGTTTCACCGTGTTAGCCAGGATGGTCTTGATCTCCTGACCTCGTGATCCGCCCGTCTCGGCCTCCCAAAGTGCTGGGATTACGGGCTTGAGTCACCGCGCCTGGCCAACATTTTACCATTTATTTTTCTATGTACAAAGAAATGTTTTTATAAAAATGAGATCATAACAATGTACTATTTTGTAATCTCCTTTTTTCATTCAAAAATATATTGTAACCATCTTCGTACACCATTACATATTCTTCCACAACATCAAACAGTTGTGCCAAAACATGCATAAGCCATCATGTATTTAATCTGTTCCTGTCACTGGAGTTCTGCAGGATCAATTTCAAGTAGTAGATCCTGGAGCTTTTTATTGTTCCCTCAGCTCCCAGAGCCATGGCACTGTTCCAGGTCTGAAGGAAGGCCACATCTTGTCCCTACACAAGCATCTCCATCCCCAGCTGTGGGCATAGATCCTGTGATGAAGGGTGTAGGCACTGTGTGGCCATCCCTGTGGGGCCCCATCCCTGCCTGTGACGGGGCACGGCCATCTGCTGTCACTGGAGGTCCAGGGATGGGTAGTGAGGGCACAGGCTGACTTTGTCTTTATGATTTGCTGTGGGGCCACATGGCCCTCTTCTTCCTGAGTTACCTTTACTAAGCCCTTAGACTTTCGGGGATCGTCTACCAAATGGAAATAATAAGCTGTACTCTGCTGACCTTCCCGAAGCAGGTCTGCTTTTCCTAGGTTTCTATATTGAACCTTCCTGTAGGATTTCATTTACAGGCCAGGCTCCATTTAGTTGATGGGAAAGGGGGCTTGGCTGAGGTTATTCGATGAGTTATAGACAGGATCTGGACTAGAACCCAGGCCTTCTGAGTCTAGTGCTATTTCTGCCACGTGACCTCCTGGCTCCCACCATGGAGCCACATAGTTTGAGCTAATGTCTTGGCACGGGTGACTGTATATTCCTTTTCCATATGGGCTCCAGGTGTAGCCAGATATGCGTGAGCCATAAGTTGCTATGTAATTCCATCATATTCTTGCCAAACAAGTCTGAGCAGCAGCTGGAAGGGCCCAGGGCCCTGATAGCATCTGTCAAATACCACTGGGAGCTTCACCCCTGGCTGTTCATATAGGAAGAGGATTCCATCTCCACGTGGGGCTGCTGAGAAAGGCATCCCGGGCCCTGTGCAGAGGCCAAGTTTATCTAGGCAGTTCCATGTACAGGTCTGTTTCCTCATCTATAAATTAGGGACAGTAATACTTTGCAGGGTGATGAATGTGGCGATGAATAAGCATAGTGCATGTAAAGCACTCAGCACTTCAGTTCAGCAAGTATTTATTGACCACCTCTGAGCCAGAACTAGGACCAGAATAACACAGGAAGAGACTGAGAGGCAGAAACCCACACATCTGCTAATAGCATTTCCCTTGGCCAGCTTTTAATCTTGTGCAAGCCATTTTCCTTCTCTGGATCTCAGTTTCATCATCTGTAAAATGGTCCCTGTTCTGAGAGAGACTGTTATCTCTCAGAAAAGAAACAGTGTGACTGTCAGCAGCTCGCAGGAATGAGGCAGGGAAGGAGGAACGGAACAAACCTGAGTCACAGTGTTGGTTGCCAGGGCTGCCCCTAAGGCTCAGGCACCAGCCAGTCCTGGGTTCAACTCCTGGCCCCACCATTTAACTTGATCATTACAAACATCAAGCTGTTTGACTTGGACAAGTGACTTATCTCACCACAGGTTCCTCTTCTATAAAATGGGATAATGATTCTGCCTTATGGGGCCATCATTTTAGCATGTGAAGGGCCTAGCAGAGTGCCTGGGCCTAAAAATTATAATTAGGAGCCTGTAATCCTAGCACTTTGGGAGGCCAAGACAGGAGGATCACTTGGGCTCAGGAGTTCGAAACCAGCCTGGCCAACATAGTGAGACCTTGCCTCTATTTAAAAAATTAGTAATAATAATACCTATATAACAAATGTAAATAATACATATATATATAATTAGAAGCCACATGTGGTGGCTAATGCCTGTAATCTCAGCTACTTGGGAGGCTGAGGCAGGAGGATTGCTTGAGGCCAGGAAATTTGAGACCAGCTTGGGAGACAGAGCTAGACCTTGTCTCTAAAAAAGAATAATAATAATTAGTAATAATAGCAGCTTCTACTTATTTAGCGTTTACTTTGTGCCAGGCACTGGAGTAAGGTCTTTGCATCTATTACCAGATTTATTCTCCCTGGCAGGGAAAGCTGCTATTGTTATTCCCAATTTATAGGTAAGTAGTGAGGAATCCCAGCCCACAATCCCTGCCTTAGTGGATGCCCCCTGATTTGAAAGGCAAGAAGAGAGGCAGCTCAATAAATAATTAAAATACAAAGTGGTAATGCCATAATGATAGTATTAGCACAGAGATGGCAAAAAAAAGTATTTTTTTTTTAATGGAGGGAAGGGTAGTCAGAAAAGGCATCACGGGTGACATGGCACCTAAGCGTGGCTCAAGGTTTCAAGGTTGGTGGGTGTGTGATTTGTTTTAAATACTTTCCTGCCTGTACCAGGAGTACCTGTACCCATCCCATGAATAACACTGGACTGTTGCTGTAGTTTCCTTCTGCAATGATCTCAGTCTTAGTAACTAGCATTTAAGTACTTTCACCCACTATTTCATTTCATTCCTTCTGTTGCAACTCCACTCATAAGAAAGAAAAATGTTTCTAACATTTGAAATGTTTAAAAAATGTTGGCTGTCCTTTGAGGATAGGGAAGGAATGGGACTTGTTATTTTATAGGGGAAGAAAAGCACTCCCCAGTTATTAGGTCATCTCAGAATGACTATGTCAGACTTTGTAGGGAAAATCTCCGTGAATTATCTTAGCTGAGGCTGAGGGACAGAACTTTGATAACTGACAAAGCCATTTTGTCAAAGCTGTGTACATTTTGTCAAAGCTGAAGTACATTGACAAAGTTGTGTACTTCACAGCTTATCTACACCGAGTTAAGTAGCACCATCTTTTCATCTCTACTAGCATTCAAAAAATAAAAGAAAGAAGAAAGTACCATATGCTGAAAAAAATTATATAAAAGGGATCACCAGTATTTACCACTCTAGCATCATTGCCATCATTAGAAACATCATAATCCTACCATTCATTGAGGGCTTGCCATAGGCCAGGAACTGTACTGTTTCCTATGCATTATATTATCCAAGGACTAGGTGTCATTACAGTGGTTCCCCCTTATCCTTGGGGGATATGTTCCGAGACCCCCAGTGGATGCTTGAAACTGAAGATGATACTGAACCTTATATTAAGTTGGTGCAAAAGTAATTCCGACAGTGTATAGACCAGGTGTCCTCAACCCCTGGGCCATGGACTGGTACTGGTCCAAGGCCTGTCAGGAACCTGGACTGAATAGCAGGAGGTGAGCATTGGCAGGCGAGCGAGCATTACCGCCTGAGCTCCGCCTCTTGTCAGATCAGCATGGCATTAGATTTTCATAGGAGCACGAACCCTATTGTGAGCCTCACATGCCAGGGATCTAGGTTGAATGCTCCTTATAAGAATCTAAGCCTGATGATCTGAGCTGGAACAGTTTTATCCCAAAACCACCCTCCGCCACCCTGCCATCTGTGGAAATATTGTCTTCCATGAAACCAGCTCCTGGTGCCAAAATGTTGGGGACTGCTGGATAGACAGTGTAAATACACTGGACAAAAGGATGATTCATGTTCCACACAGGATGGAGCAGAAGGATGCAGGATTTCACATGCTACTCATAATGATGCATAATTTAAAACTTACGAATTGGGCCAGGCATGGTGGCTCATGCCTGTAATTCCAGCACTTTGGGAGGCCAAGGCAGGCAGATCACCTGAGGTCAGGAGTTCGAGACCAGCCTGAAACACATGGCGAAACCCTGGCTCTACTAAAAATACAAAAATTAGCTTGGTATGGTGGTGGGTGCCTGTAATCCCAGCTACTTGGGAGGCTGAGGCAGGAGAATTGCTTGAACTTGGGAGGTGGAGGTTTCAGTGAGCTGAGATCGTGCCATGGCACCCCAGCCTGGGTGATAAGCAAAACTCCATCTCAAAAAAAACCAAAAGACAAAAAAAGTACGAATTGTTTATTTCTGGAATTTTCCATTTAATATTTTTGGACAGGGATTGACCCTGAATAACTGAAACCACAGAAAGCAAAACTACAGAGAAGGGGGGACTACAGTATTATTCTCATTTTCCAAATGGGGAAACCATTTCAGAAAGTTTTATAAAGGTTAAGTAAGTGAAGGAGCTGCCATTCAAATCCAGAATCTACATTTCTAACCACTGTACTATATTGTGGTTTGCTTTTTGTCCATTTACTCTGGAGCAGATATCTTTCCATGTCAGTATAGTCATCCCTCAGTATCCATGAAGGATTGGTTCCAGGACCCCCGCAGATACCAAAATCTGAGGATGCTAAAGCCCCTTAGTCAGCCGCCTATATCCTCAGGCTTTACACCCACAGATATGGAGGGCTGACTGCATGTACAGATATTCCTTCTTTTTTTTTTTCTTGAGACACGGTCTACTCTGTTGCCCAGGCTGGGGTGCAGTGGTTACAGATAAGAATCTCCATTTTCCAGATAAGGAGGCTCAGAGGCTCAGAGAGGGGAAGACAGCTAGTAGCAGCAGAACTTGTATTAATCCCACTCTGTCTTTGTCTTCTCTGCTCAGGGCTGTCCCTGCTTGACAGCAGAACTATTAAGCCCTCTCCTTTACATGGGATTCAGAGTCACATGCACCCAGCCTGAGATGTGGAAATACTCTCCTGGCTGCGAGTGGGTAGTCTGCTGGGCATGGGATTTCCAGGAAACCATTTACACACAGATCCACCCATCCCCAAAGACGGAAAACAGCCAACCTCTGAGAGGGAAGGCCCCCGTTACTCTTAGCTACAAGGATGGGAAGCACTTTCTGTCTCCACTTAAAAAAAGAGCACGGTGGGGCGTGGTGGCTCATGCCTGTAATTTCAGCACTTTGGGAGGCTGAGATGGATAGATCACTTGAGGCCCGAGTTCAAAGACTAGCCTAGCCAACATGGTGAAATCCCGTCTCTACTAAAAATACAAAAGTTACCTGGCCATCGGCCAGGCACGGTGGCTCACACCTGTAATCCCAGCACTTTGGGAGACTGAGGTGGGTGGATCACCTGAGGTCAGGAGATCGAGATCATCCTGGCTAACACGGTGAAACCCCATCTCTACTAAAAATACAAACAACTAGCCAGGCATGGTGACACCCACCTGTAGTCCCAGCTACTCAGGAGCTGAGACAGGAGAATCGCTTGAACCCGGGAGGCGGAGGTTGTAGTGAGCCAAGATCGCACCACTGCACTCCAGCCTGGGCAACAGAGTGAGACTCCGTCTAAAAAAAAAAATGGGTGGGCGTGGTGGTAGGCACCTGTAATCCCAGCTATTCAGGCGGCTGAGGCACGAGAATCACTTGAACCTGGGAGGTGGAGGTTGCAGTGAGCTGAGATCGCGCCACTGCACTCCAGCCTGGGCTCAGAAGAATGAAAGCACTTTGAAATAACTCAGAAACAGAAAGTCAAACACTGCATGTTCTCCCTTATAAGTGGGGGGTAAGCAATGGGTACATGTGGACAAACAGAGCAGAATAGTAGACATTGGAGACTTCAAAAGGTGGGAGGGTAGATGAGGGATGAAAAATTACCTATTGGGTACCATGTACACTATTTGGGTGATGGGTACTCTAAAAGCCCAGGCTTCACCACTGCACAATATATCCACGAAACAAAACTGCACTTGTACCCCCTGAATTTAATACAAATAAAAAAGATTGAAGGCACCTGTGCTGTTAAATCCCTTCCAGGAAAATCAGAACTGTTTGCCCCAAATCTCACTTGGCCCTTGTTTGAGCCCTTCATCCCCCTGCATAAAAACCTTCAAATCCTTCCCATTACTCTTGGGATAAAGACCAAGAATATATTAACATGGTGTGAATTAGACCCTGCATGGTCTGGCACCTCTTCACCTCAGTGGGCACCAACCCTCTCCATCTTAGCACTGTTGCTCCTGCCTTGGGACCATCATATGGTCCAGCTCTCTTGCCCAACAGTAGTTTCCTCCAAGCTTCTCAGGCTTCAGATCCCAGCTCAGACATCAACGAAGCAGCCCCAACGAAGTTGGATCCCCATTTTCTCTCCCATAGTTCTCTGTGTGGCTGTGATTTGATTCATGTCTTTCTCCCCCATCACTCTGTGGATTCCCTAAGCTGTCTTGTTCATTGTACCCAGCCCCACCACGCAGCTGGCACAGGAGGGCCTCCTGCACCATGTGGCCCCTTTGCTCATGCATCCCTGGCAGAAGAGGATGTAGGGGCTGGTGAGAGTTGTTCAGGCTTCTCTTTCCTTGGGATCTAGGGCCAAGCTGGAGAAGGAGCGCGATCGGGCTAGGGTGACAGGAGGGATCCCTGGGGAGGTGGCCCAGGACACGCAGAGAGAGCGGCGCATCTTCCAGCTGCACATGTGTGAGGTAAGGGGTGCTCTGGATGAGGGAGGGGAGCGTGGGATGTGTCTTCCTGTCTGCCTCTCCAGGGGACCAGTCACAGGCTAACTCAGGTCCTGGCCACATGGCCCTGTGGGATGTCACCAAGGCCCAGTCGCAGCCAGGAGGATTAGCCTGGGATGGGGACTGCAGCCTCTCGTTCCCAGGATTCTGCTTCAGCTCACATGACACATCTTGCCCTGCCCTCCTCCTAGTATCTGCTCAAAGCTGGGGAGAGCCAGATGAAGCAAGGTCCCGACTTCCTTCAGAGCCTCATCAAATTCTTCCACGCCCAGCACAAGTAGGTATCTCCCCATGTCCCTGCCACTAACCCTTCCAGTGTCACAGAACAAGGCCCCTCTCAGGGTGTGGAAGACTGGCAAGTCTCTTTGAAGGCCTGCGTCTTGTTGGCGGAACTTTCATAGCTCCTCCTCATTGAGTGCTCACTGAATGTCAGGCACGAGTACTTTACAAACATCAATTCACTTGATCCCCCAGCACTTCTGGGAGCAGGTACTATATTATCCCCATTTTATAGATGAGAAAACTGAGGCTCATTTTCCAAGATTACACTGCTATTAAGTGGGATTTTAATCTAGTCAAGAGAGACTTGTCTATGGAGTGTCTGTTCTTGACCGTCAGACTACAATGCCCTGAGGTGCCCTGTGAGCCTTACAGCAGCTTCTCCCACACTTCTGGCTTCATCTCTCATTTCCGTCTTTATCTGGACCCTTGTTTGGCCTCTGACACCTCTTAGCTTTTTCCAAGATGGCTGGAAGGCTGCCCAGAGCCTGTTCCCCTTCATCGAGAAGCTGGCGGCCTCAGTACATGCAGTAAGTTGGGTCTCACCCTTGGGCACGTGATCAAGCCCCCTGTCCTTCCAGGAAAGTCTGTGGGTGTGGAAGAGCTGGCTCCTGCCCACAGAGTGAGGCTACTGCTCTGCTCTTCTGGTTCTGGGCTCTGTACCTGACACATTTGTTGGCTGGTGATGGGGTCCCTTCCTCTGTCCCACAGCTCCATCAAGCCCAGGAGGAGGAACTACAGAAGCTAACCCAACTCCGGGACTCCCTCCGAGGGACACTGCAGCTTGAGAGCAGAGAGGTCAGCCCCTGAACCATCCCAAAAGGAATGCCTTCCCCCAAGGCCCACCATGGAGGGAGGGAGAGAAGGAAGACCCACAGGGTCCCCTGGAAAAGTCTCCCTGAGTGAGCCCCCGCAGATTGGGGCTCTTTCCACTGAGATGCCCTGAGGTCTCCTTTGCATGTCCGAGGGACAGGAACACCTGAGCCGGAAGAATTCAGGATGTGGCTACAGTATCCACCAGCACCAAGGCAACAAACAGTTTGGGACGGAGAAAGTGGGCTTTCTATACAAGAAAAGCGACGGGTAAGTGATTCAGAGCTTACATAATTTGCCCAATGTCACACTGCAAGTAAATGACAGGGTTGGGGAAGCTGCCCAGAGGAACTGTTCTGATCATTTATGTAGACACGGAGGGTTACAATGCAAACTCCTCAAATCCTGGGTTGTCCAGGACACCTGGGCACGTGAACTTCTGCTAAAGGTGATTGGTTGTTTTAAGTTAAAGAAGAATAGCAGTAGCTAACACTGATTGAACACTTACTATGCCCTCATTCTTTTTTTTTGAGACGGAGTCTCCCTCTGTCACCCAGGCTGGAGTGCAATGGCGCGATCTCGGCTCACTGCAACCTCCGCCTCCCGGGTCCAAGCAATTCTTCTGCCTCAGCTTCTCAAGTAGCTGGGACTACAGGCGCCCACCACCACACCCAGCTATTTTTTTATATTTTTAGTAGAGACAGGGTTTCACCATGTTAGCCAGGATGGTCTCGATCTGCTGACCTCTTGATCTGCCTGCCTCAGCCTCCCAAAGTGTTGGGATTACTGGCGTGAGCCATTGTGCCCAGCCTATGACCTCATTCTTAACCTCTACAATATACTGAATATGCCTAGAAATGAAACTATTGGCTGTGCCTTGCTCCCTAGTGTAAAAAAAAAAAAAAAAAAAAAATCAGTCTGTGGGCCAGGCATGGTGGCTCACACCTGTAATCCCAGCACTTTGGGAGGCCAAGGCAGGTGGATCACTTGAGGTCAGGAGTTCAAGACCAGCCTGCCCAACATAGTGAAACCCCATCTCTACTAAAAATACAAAAAATTATCCGGGTGTGGTGGCATGAGCCTGTAGTCCCAGCTGCTGGGAGGCTGAGGTAGGAGAATCGCTTGAACCCAGGAGGTGGAGGTTGCAATGAGCCGAGATCATGCCACTGCACTCCAGGCTGGGCAACAGAGCAAGACCCTGTCTCAAAAAAAAAAAAAAAACCACACAAACAAACAAAACAAAAACAAACGGCTGTGAAATGCAAAGGCCCCTGTGGGATATATTCATGTTTCTACCTACCAATCAGTTTAATCAGAGAAGAATAACCTTCAAGAAGAAACCAATGAATATTTACCTGTTACAGGAGAAGTGTTTAGTTTTGGATCATGGACTTGCTAATTTTATTTTTGGGGTATTAATATTGATCTTGCTTAGTTGAACCATAATTTGTTTGTTGTTGTCAAGAGCCTGTGTTTCTCAGACTAGGAGCTCCCTAATGATATAAGCTGTGTCTCCCCCATCAGACTAGAAGCTCTCAGAGAGCCAAAGTCACATCATCTCCTTAGAATAAGGATTCCCAGGGAGTGAGGCTGTGTTTCTTCATCAAACTGGGATCTTCCTAAGAGCAGAACTGTGTCTCCTCCATCAGAAGGGAGCCCCAGAGAGTCGGGGGTTGTGGGGAGGTGTAGGGTTAGGAGAAGAAAGAGGTAAAGGGATGTGGCTAGAGATCATACAGGTGGGGGCAAATCTCTGTTCTCTGACACCAGGGAATTAGGTGTGAGTCTTGGGTCACTGTCCTTCTATCCCTCTGGGCCTTAGAATTCGAAGAGTCTGGCAGAAAAGGAAGTGTGGAGTCAAGTATGGCTGCCTGACCATCTCACACAGCACGGTGAGGCCTAGAGGTGGTGGGTGTCTCAGGGCACGATGGACCCTCTTCTGGTGTTCTGAGCAAACAATGTCAAGCCCTCCCTCCAAGACTGACCCGCAAACCTAGGTCCAGGGAGCTGCAGACCCTTGTGGGAGGACAGATGGGACCCGAAGGCCCCAATCTAGTCTTAGTCTACACACCACATCCTTGAGGTGCTGCTGGGTGAAGAGAAACAAATGGAACAGGATTATGCCCATTTAACAGAGTGGAAAATGGAGGCCTAAAGAGTGTGGAGGGCCAGAGGTAATGCATACATCCTCCACCCCCAAATTCCCACAGATAAACCGGCCCCCAGTGAAGCTGACCCTGCTGACGTGCCAAGTGAGGCCAAACCCCGAGGAGAAAAAGTGCTTCGACCTGGTGACCCGTGAGTGGTCTCTGTGCCTCTCCCCTACAGCTGCCCAGGGCTTCTCTAAGACACCTATCAGCTCCCAGGGGACTTCAGTGAGGGGTCTGTGTCCAGTTCCACACATGGTATTGAAGAGCTGCTACTGCAGGCATAAGAATCCTTAGGTCCAGGACACCCACATCACATTAAACGTCAAAATGCACCCACTTTCCATAATAAATGGGACTATTTTATATAGAGTATATTTGAGTGGATTTGGATCATCTGGGTTTTTAAATCATTTCTTTTTTTTAAAAAATTGTACCTTTTTTCCCCAAATACCCAGAGCTGAAGGAGATGAAATTATTGTTTCTTTACATTTTCCACTTTTCGTTCTTTGGAGCCGTTGGTGCAGGCTTTGTGTGAGAGCAGACACAGGCTGAGAAAGACCTAGATCTTGTCCTCAGGAAGCTCTCTGGCAGGGGTGTGGGGTGGGTACCCAGGACTGTAAGATGAGGGGGCTGTGCAGATGATGGGTGCAGATATAGCCCCATAGGAGATTAGGGAGCAGGAAGGCCTGCACTGCTGTGGGGAACCAGGAAAGGCTCTTGGAGGAGAGAGTATTTGAATTTAGCCTTGAAGGACATGTAGAATGAAGAGTTTGTGGGGTGGGGGCTTTTGAGGAGACAGGATTAGCATGATGAAAGGCATGGAAGCAGGAGAGTGGGGCCGGCCAGTTTGGCCAGAGTGGAGGGTTCATGTAGCAGAGTGAGAGATGAGGCCTGGAAATCCCTCTTAAAAGTTTGGACCTTATTTCCTGGCAATAGGGAGCCATGGGAGATCTTGGAGCAGGGCAGTAGGACAGTGGTGTAGTTAGAGCAGAGCCTTGGGCACAACAGTTGGGAGCTGGTACAGGCTGGAGAAAAGGAAATGGGAAGCAGGGAGACCAGACAGGTAGCCTGGTCGCCCCGGAGGAGACCAGGAGGAGCCCAGTGGGATGGTGACAGTTGGTTCAGAGGATGCCCTGCCTCTGAGCTGGGTTCTCTGGGGTTCTATGCCCTGGGAGACCTCATCTGAGCCTGGAACCAGGGCTTCACGCAGAGAGAGCTTTGTTGGGATCCTACTTCGGAGGCCACTTCTGAGAAACTGCCCCTGCTGTTGGCCACTGTCATTCCGCTCCCTTCCCACTCCTAGCTTGAGAGTCCAACTTGGCAGGGACACATCTCCATGTGGCCCAGCGGCTTTTGGCGGGGGCTCCCTGGGCTTCGGGAAGGCCAGCAGCATTTCTGTGGGCCAGAAGCCCCCTTCTCTCCCGACAGACAACCGGACCTACCACTTCCAGGCAGAGGACGAGCACGAGTGTGAGGCGTGAGTGCCCGGCCAGGCTTGTGGGTGGGGGCGGCGGCCCTATCTCTTCCCGCCCAATATCCCCGTCCCACCCCGCTCAATCTCCGCAGGTGGGTGTCAGTGCTGCAGAACAGCAAGGACGAAGCCCTGAGCAGCGCCTTCCTTGGGGAGCCCAGCGGTGGCCCGGGGTCCTGGGGGGCCGCCGGGCATGACGGGGAGCCCCATGACCTCACAAAGCTGCTCATCGCGGAGGTGAAGAGCAGGCCTGGGAATAGCCAGTGCTGCGACTGCGGAGCTGCAGGTCAAGCCTCGGGGGCCCGGGCTGGAGGGAGGGGGAAGTAGAGGGGAGGGGCTGCACCTCCAGGCTCCAGCTGCTTTCCTCTGCAGACCCCACGTGGCTCAGCACCAACCTGGGCGTGCTCACCTGCATCCAGTGCTCGGGAGTCCACCGCGAACTGGGCGTGCGCTTCTCGCGCATGCAGTCACTCACCTTGGACCTGCTGGGCCCCTCCGAGTTGTTGGTGAGGGCGGGGCGGTGCCCCGAAGGGGCCAGACGCGGAGATAGGGGTGTAGTTTCATCCGGCGGCGAGACGTGCAGGTTGTGGGTGGGACCTGGCCAAGGTGGGCTGGGGCAAGCCAGGTAGCTGGTGGTCAGGGGCGGGGCCTGAACCGGGAGGGCGCCCGAGGGGTGGGACTCTGGGGGCTCGGAGCTCCACCCAGTGCAGGCCTAACCACCCGGTCTTACTGTGCCCCACCCCTATTTTCCCACGACTCCAGCTGGCCTTGAACATGGGAAACGCGAGCTTCAATGAGGTCATGGAGGCCCAGCTACCCTCACATGGCGGCCCTAAACCCTCACCTGAAAGTGACATGTAAGGGGATTCTCAGAGAGGGGGCGTCCTGCCCTGCCTACGGGATTCTGCCTCCGCAGCTCCCAGGGTCGCAGAAAGGTCTTAGATCAGAAGTCTGTGGAGGCTGGGCGCAGTGACTCACGCCTGTAATCCCAACACTTTGGGAGGCCAAGGCGGGCGGATCACTTGAGGTCAGGCGTTCAAGACCAGCCCGGCTAACATGGCAAAACCCCACCAGTACTCAAAATACAAAAATTAGCCAGGCGTGGTGGCGCATGCCTGTAGTTCCACCTACTCAGGAGGCTGAGGCACGAGAATTGCTTGGACCCTGGAGGCAGAGGTTGCAGTGAGCTGAGATTGCGCCATTGCACTCCAGCCTGGGTGATAGAGTGAGACTCTGTCTCAAACAAACAAACAAAAAAAGCCTGAGGAGCTGGGGAAGGGGAGCCTGAGATCTGGACATCTTCAGGACATGGTTCTGGAGAAAAGGAGAGCTGTATCTCCTGTGGGAGGGCCCCAGGGATCAGCTGGACAGACATGGTCCATGCTCTGAGATCCTGTGGTTGTCTTTGGTAGGGGCACCCGCAGGGACTACATCGTGGCCAAGTATGTGGAGCACAGGTTTGCACGCCGGTGCACACCTGAGCCTCGGAGACTCTGGACAGCCATTTGCAACAGGGACCTCCTGTCGGTACTGGAGGCCTTTGCCAATGGGCAAGACTTTGGACAGCCGCTGCCAGGGCCTGATGCACAGGTGAGAACCCCCTCCAAGGGCCACTTATAACCCACCTGCCTCACACTCTGACATCTGCTCAAATCTCACCCATCAGAGTGGTAAGTGGGAAGGAGCACAGCTTCAGTCAAGCAGACCTGGGTGGGAATCCTCGTTGTTTTTTCCTGGCTGTGTGATCTAGTGCAGGTTACTTCTCTGAGTCTCATTTCCTCATCTATAAAAGGGGTTAATAAGGCCGGGCGCGGTGGCTCAAGCCTGTAATCCCAGCACTTTGGGAGGCCGAGACGGGCGGATCACGAGGTCAGGAGATCAAGACCATCCTGGCTAACCCGGTGAAACCCCATCTCTAGTAAAAAATACAAAAAAATAGCCGGGCGAGATGGTGGGCGTCTGTAGTCCCAGCTACTTGGGAGGCTGAGGCAGGAGAATGGCGTGAACCCGGGAGGCGGAGCTTGCAGTGAGCCGAGATCCGGCCACTGCACTCCAGCCTGGGCGACAGAGCGAGACTCCGTCTCAAAAAAAAAAAAAGGGGGGTTAATAATAGCACCCATGGGGATGAAGTGAGAATTAAGTCATGTATATAAAGGGCTTAGTGTACAATGGGTATGCAATAAATGTTCATATCTTTTTCTTTCACCTCAGTAGCCCTGAAATGTAAGGGCAGGTCAGTTTAGAGCCAGGAAGACCACATTGCTTTGGCTATTCCAAGAACAAACACATGAGCATGGGGAAAGGATATCAGAGACATTTGAAAAAGTAAATCAACAGGAGTTGCTGACTGATTGGACATCAAAAATTGGATGTTGGCTGGGTGCGATGGCTCACGCACTGTAATCCCAACACTTTGGGAAGCCAAAGTGAAAGGATCACTTGAGCCCAGGAGTTCAGAATCAGCTTGGGCAAAATAAGGAAACCCCCATCTCTACAACAACAACAACTAACATTAGCTGGGTATGGTGGCACACATCTGTGGTCCCAGCTACTCAGAAGGCTGAGGTGGGAGGGTGACTTGAGCCCAGGAGGTTGAGGCTACAGAGAGCTGTGACTGCGCCACTGCCCTCCAGCTTGGGTGACAAAGCGAGACCCTATCTCAGAAAAACTAAAAACGGGTATCTTTGAACTGTCTGTCTGATATCTTGGTGGGCTATCCAATGAGCAGTGCAGCACTTAGGTGAGGTAAGAATTTGGAACAGCCTATACGTGTGTGGTAGTTGAAAACATGAGGTTGCTGAGGTCTTGGTGGGGAAGTACAATCAGGGAGAGGAGCCCAGAGCCGAGAAAGAAGTTTGGGTAACACCTGTTGGGGGCAGAGGAGGAAGAGCCATGAAAGGGAACATTGAGAGAATGGCCCTTCACCTTCCTGCCAAACATGAGGCTCTGCCCTTGCAGTCTCATCTCTCCAGGGTTCTGGCAGCTTCCTATGGGAGGATAAGAGGGTAGCAAGAGTGCAAGAGGGAAATACTGGGTTGGAGGCAGGTGCACTAGGGGGAAACTCAGGAGTGGATGTGTTTTCAGGCACCTGAAGAGCTTGCCCTACACTTGGCTATCAAAGTTGCCAGCCAGGCCTCTCTGCCTCTGGTGGATTTTATCATCCAGAATGGGTGAGAGCCTCCCTGCCTGTCTCTCTGGCTCCTCATACTCCTGCTCCTTTCCTTCCTGTTCTCCCACTGTCTTCCCTCCTTTCCCCTCCCACTTTTTCCCCTGACTTTGATCCCTTCATTGATCTGTTCCCCTTCCTTTCTCCCTGAACCCTCCTCTCCCCAGTGGTCACCTGGATGCCAAGGCTGCTGATGGGAACACGGCTCTGCACTACGCAGCACTCTACAACCAGCCCGACTGCCTCAAGCTGCTGCTGAAGGGGAGAGCTTTGGTTGGCACAGGTGGGGTTTGAATACCTCCTCTGTCAGACTCCTATTCCTGACTGCCCCTTGTGTGGACTTCCGATGGTCTCGGGCTCTAATCCTGGCTTACTTCTGACCACATCTGTGATCTTAGGGGTTTGTCATTCATCTCTTGAATTTCAGCTTCCTCATCTATAAAATGGGAATAATACCACTGACCTAGAGGGACTGCTAAAGAGAAAAGAAAATATTTCTGGAAGTACTTAGGCAAATAAATATTAGCTGGATCTGAATGATAATGATTGTAATAGCTAATATTTATTGTGTAACATATGCCTGGCAATGGGGCAAGTGCTTTACATGTGTTAATTAAACGAATCCTCATAACCACTTCATCAGGTAGTTCCAAGTACTCATCATAAACAATTTTGTCCCAAAAGGTTATATAACTTGCCCTGTGGTCACATAGCCAGAACATGGCAGAGCCAGGATTCAAACCCAGACATTCTGATTACAGAGGCCCAGCCTCATCTCTAAACTGTAATGTTTCTTTGACCATGACCATGACCATGACCATGACCCCTGACTTTCCCCCCTCACAGTAAACGAAGCAGGCGAGACAGCTCTGGACATAGCCAGGAAGAAGCACCACAAGGAGTGTGAGGAGCTGGTGAGGTCTCGGGGAGGCAAGGGGCCCCTGACCCTTTCTCTCTCCCTGCTGAGCCCCCAACCCTCTGAACTGCCAAGCCTTTGTTTTTGGCAGCTGGAGCAGGCTCAGGCGGGGACCCTTGCCTTCCCTCTACATGTGGACTACTCCTGGGTAATTTCTACAGAGCCTGGCTTTGACAGTGAGGAGGATGAGGAAGAGAAGGTGGGTCCCAGCCCTGTCCCTCAGACCTCTGGATGGCAGAAGGAAAGAGCCAGATTGGGCTGGGTGTGTGTTGGCGGGGGTGGTGAGGTGGGGGGACAGGGCTACACCAGAGGAACCAGGCTGCCCTCATCCTCACTCTTTTGCCCTGGCAGCGCTGCTTGCTGAAGCTCCCGGTCCAGGCCCACTGGGCCAGTGGGAGGCTGGACATCAGCAACAAGACCTATGAGACTGTCACCAGCCTGGGAGCAGCCACCCCTCAGGGCGAGAGTGAGGACTGTCCCCCACCCTTGCCAGTCAAAAACTCTTCTCGGACCGTGGTCCAAGGGTGTGCAAGACGTGCCAGTGGAGGTACAGTTGGATGCCCAGATAAATGCTCACCATGCCATTCACAGAGGGCCTGTATATGCTGGGGCACTGAGCTGAGTGCATATGTTAGTCCATAGCATCCTTACGATGACCTCCCAGATAGGGGTTCTCATCTTCCCCTTACAGATAAAAGAACAGAGGTGTTAAGTCACATGCTTAAGATCCCATAGGTAATAAGTCTCTGATGTAGGATTCAAATATCAGCCCATGTTATTCCAAATTCCTCAATGCTCCACTTAACAAGAGAGAAAAGAGTTTATTGAGCATCTCCTTCATCCTGAGTCCTTTGAGGGCTACCAAGACACAGTCTAGTAGGGGAGATAAAAACTGGAATGCAATTCATTATAATACAAGGCACAGTGTGATATAGAATGTGAATCCCAAAAGGACAAGAACTTCGAGTGTTTTGTTGAATACTGTTTTTCCAGCGCCTAATGCAGAGCCTGGCTGTTCTCAAGAACTATTAGTCGAATGAAGGAACAGACTTGTTCTGGGAGGTCAGGGCGGTTGGGGAGGGAGCATGTCCTGCTGGGACTGGGGGTTGGTTTAGGAAGGCTTCCTGGTGGGGACAGCATCTGAGTGAACCTGAGGGATGGGCAGGAGAATCCAAACTGGGATGGGGTGTACGCACAAGCAAAAAAGTGAGTCAGCATGGTCCTGGCCACCGCGAACAAAGGCTTCATCAGTTGAAGGAGAATACTGGACAGGTAGATGGGGAATGGACTATTGGCAGAGAACCAGAAGAGATCCTAGCCCAGACGTGGTGGCTCACACCTGTAATCCCAGCACTTTGGGAGGCTGAGACAGGCGGATCAACTCAGGTAAGGATTTTGAGACTAGCCTGGCCAACATGGTGAAACCCCATCTCTACTAAAAATGCAAAAATTAGCCAGGCATGGTGGCATGCACCTGTAATCCCAACTACTGTGGAGGCTGAGGCAGGAGAATCTCTTGAACCTAGGAGGCGGAGGTTGCAGTGAGCCAAGATCGTGCCACTGCACTCCAGCCTGGGTGACAGAGTGAGACTCTGTCTCAAAAAAAAAAAAAAAGAAAAAGAAAAAGAAAAAAGATCCTAGAGGCCAGAGACTGCTTTGAGGTTGGGCACAGAGCAACTGATAAAGAAAAGCTTTGTCATTTCTGATTCCAGATCATTCTGAAGTCTCCAGCCTGAGTTCAGAGGCCCCTGAGACCCCTGAGAGCCTGGGCAGTCCAGCCTCCTCCTCCAGCCTCATGAGCCCCGTGGAACCTGGGGGTCCCAGCCAAGCCCCACCCAACTCTGAAGAGGGCCTCCGAGAACCCCCAGGCACCTCCAGACCGAGCCTGACATCCGGGACCACCGCTTTGGAGATGTACCTCCCCGTCAGGTTCAGGTTGGTGAGGGCTCAGCTCTGTGACCAGGGCAAATCCCCTGACTTCTCCGAGCATCCATTGATTTCCACACCTCTAAACAGTACCTGCCTGGGTCACACTCCATCTCTGGGTCCATCACTTATGCAGAAATGCTGGACCCTGGGACCCCTTCCCCCTTCACACACTTGCTCCCAAGTCCTGCATGGAGAGCTGAGGAGGAGCCAGGGATCCTGCCTGCTGATGTTGGAGTAAAGAATAAGCCCTCTGTGTGGCTTATTCTAGAGGCTCTCAGTGGGGTCTTCACTCTGTCCCCACCTCCAACCCAGGATCCAGTCTTCTCCCTTCCTTGCAAACCTATTCAGTCTGGAGTTTGGGGAGAAGTAGACCGGGGATATCCACAGAGTCTTCTGGAGGTCAGTTCCAGCCTTCTTGGGCCTGTGATGGACCTGGTCTGGGGACCTTGTGGACTCTACCCACCCATCCTAAGCCCCCAGACTGACTCTGTTCCTGAGCCCTTTCTCCCTACTCTGAGGGGCTCTCTGGACACGAGGGTCACATTGGCCTTTCCCTGCCTTCCAGCTCTGAGAGCACTCGCTCCTATCGGCGGGGGGCGCGGAGCCCGGAAGATGGTCCCTCAGCCAGGCAGCCTCTGCCCAGAAGGAACATGCCGGTAGGAACTCTGGGACCATGGTTCGAGGGGCAGTGGCAGGGTGCCTGAGAGGCAGAGTTAGTCAAGAGTAAGTGTATTGGGGTGGGAGACCTCCCCATGATTGGGGTACAAATGGACCCAGGCAGCCACAGTTTGGACAGCCCCTGTCCTAGTGCCCAGGTGGCCACGGTTTGGCCAGTCCCTCTCCTGGTGCCCAGGTGGCCACGGTTTGACCAGTCCCTGTCCTGGTGCCTAGGTGGCCACAGTTTGGCCAGTTCCTGTCCTAGGCGCGCACAGTTTGACCAGTCCCTGTCCTGGTGCCCAGGTGGCCACAGTTTGGCCAGTCCCTCTCCTGGTGCCCAGGTGGCCACGGTTTGATCAGTCCCTGTCCTGGTGTCCAGGTGGGCAAAGTTTGGCCAGTCCTTGTGCTGGTACCCAGTCAGATGTGGTTTGACCAGTCCCTGTCCTGGTGCTAGGTGGCTGCGGTTTGGCCAGTCCCTGTCCTGGTGCTCCTCTTTCCCTGCTCTGGCCCAGGGCTGGGTGAAGCTGAGGAGAACCCAGGCCTTGACGGATGGCAGTGGTGATGAGGCCCAAGCTCTGGCTTTTCCCTGGGGGAGGATGAGGGAAGTTGTGTTATCCAGGCCAGTTGCTCAGAGAAGGCATCACTTCCCTGCAGAAGAGGCAGGATTAGGTGGCCGTGTACCAGCCCTTGTTTGCCTAACTCTCCCCTTGTTCATTAGTCTCCTGGAATCCACAGGGACTTTCAGATCCCAGGCATAGAGGGATGTGACAGGGACAGGGCAAGAGCTGTCATCCTTAATGCAGCTTCTCCCTGCTGAATCACCAAGTCTCCAACAATGGCATATATTAATTGAACCTAGGAGGGGGCACAGATCAAAGCCAGTTGTGTTGGGAAGGAAGCCTCTTCTGTCCCTTGTTCCTCTGGGAATTCCTCAGAATGGCATTGGTTATGTTGGGAGTCAGAATGGCAGGGGCAGAAGCTGGTTCTGTCCGGGGAATCATCATCTTTAATCCACCAGAGTTAGGCACGAGACACAAATCTATGTCCACATCCTGGTTCCACTATTGCCCTGAAAACCAAGTATCCATCAGATGGCATTTAATTGATGCCTGTGATTGTGGTGTGTATGATAGCAAGAGCTTGGGCTTTAGAGTAAGGAGACTTTGGACAAGTGGCTTCACTTCGTCAAGCCTAGTTTCTTTGTAAAGTGAGAATAATCTATCCACAATAGGACAGATGTGAAACTGAGTGAGGTGAACACCTCGTGTGTTACAGGTGCTTTGAAAGTGTCAGTTTCATCCTTCTTTCTGCAGGTTGGCGTCACTGAAGGAGATGGTTCAAGGACTGGGAGTCTCCCAGCAAGTTCTGTGCAACTTTTGCAAGACTAGCTCCTTGCTGGCCCCCTCATGTCCCATTCTGGGCCCCAACGTTCAGCGCTCACAAAACTGGGGAGCTGAGATGTTTGTTCTCTTGGATCTCACTCTCTCTGTCACTTGTACCTCTGTGACTGGCCTTCTTCCTGCCATGGGCCATGTCCCTACCAAGGACACATGGCCTTTCCCTGTTAGGGCTGATAGCAGTTCTTTTCTATCTCATTACCCGCTAGGGGCCTGGGAGCCCTGTGGCTGGATCTGAGTGCTCCTGAGCTGGCTTCAGTTGCAGAACTCTCAGTCCCTCATCAGATCGAGACTCTATTTCCCCCATCTGTCTGGGGGCTTCACAAGGGCAGGAGAGCCCTCCATCACTGACTTCCAAATCAGGGACCCTGCCAAGTAGGGACTGTCTTCTCAGCCAGCCATTTATTAGTCTAGTATTCCTTTACTAAATTCCAGCTCTATGTCTGGACCTGTGTTAGTCACTTCAGATGCCGCACGAGTAAGACAGGGGCCCTGCAGGGGTGGTCCTTTGGTGGAAAGCTGTTCTTAAGGGTTGGGCTTGGGAATAGGCAGGGTCAGATTCCAGGGCATGACTCTGGACTCAGCGGGTTTATACCTGTGTGACCATTGCAGTTGTCTATAGACCACATCCATTCTGGCTGGTCAACATGCATGCTATACTGGCTGTTAAATAAAAATATTATGAATGTCACCCCTTTTGAGGGACAGCACAGCCTTCCCTAGGCACTCTCCTATATTCCCCAGCCAAGTAGTAGAGTCGAATGCACCCACATTTGCCTGTGTCCTTGATTTAGCAGGAAGGAAAGAAATGGTCTGGGTTGATGGATGCCCACTTCTCTTTCTCTTGGTCAACTCAGGAGCCTTTTAGTCTGAGGGAATGGAGAGGCAAAGAAATAAGGGAGAGTAATAGAAATGGGAGGGCAGAGACTTAAGGGTTCTGCTTCGCAGCACTAGAAATTCTATCATTGCTCAGCCCCAATGAGAAAGCAGATACACCTAAGCCATCATCAGCTGCTAACATCTCAACTTGCCAGTTGCTGGGTGCTGCGCCCTGGCAGGAACGGGCCAAGCCAAGCAGGGGAGACCAGAGAGCACCAATGGCCAACACTGCTGCCTGACTGTGGAGGCTGTGCTGTTTCCCCTGGAGACCTGACCAGTCTGTGGTTCCCACAGAAACAGGGTTGTCTTTTGAGCCCCCAGTGTCTGGTTTCATTCATCTCAGATTTGTTATTTCACTCATCTCTAATAAAGGATTGGGGGGTCAGTTTCCAGTGGTTTCATTTATGTGATCTAAAGAGCAACAGGGAGGGGAACAGAATCTTGGGGCTTGAAATTCTTTCTCTGGACCTGGCAAGGGAGATGGCCTGATGTGGAATAGTGGTTTGCAACCACAGTGTTTTGCCCCAGGGAACTTCTGATAAAGCAGAAAACAGTTTTGACTGTTCCCAACTGGAGGGTGCTAGTGGCATTTAGTGGACAAAGGTCAGGGATGCTCCTAAACATCCTATGGTGCACAGGTCAACCCTCCATAGCAATGCAGTATTCAGTCCAAAATGTTAATAATGCCAAGGTTGAGAAACCCTGGAAAGAACACTGGACTGGGAGTCTGGAGACCTGAAATTCTAGCTCTCCCGTGGTCCTCTGCCACTGTCTCTGCTGATTGCCCCTGAGACAAGGATTTGGGAGCAAGTAGCTTATCTGTGAAATGATCCCAGGAAGCATAATGAGGGAATAGAGAAGTGAAACAGAAAGTCAAAGAGCAATAAAGAGCTGGGTGTGGTGGTGAGAACCTATAGTCCAGCTATTCGGGTGGGAGAATTGCTTGAGCCCAGGAGTTCAAGGCTGCAGTGAGCCATGATGGCGCTACTGCACTCCAGCCTGAGCAACAGAGCGAGTCTCTGTCTCTAACTCTTGTTGAGGACCTGTGAGAAACAGTATTGACTACAACATGCCTTCACATTGTCCCATTGAGAGTAAAGAAACTGGATGTTTTCCACCAACTCTGGTTTCTTGCTGGTTGAGGGTGTCCTTTCTGAGGGCATCAATTTCCTATCACCCCAAAGCTCCTAATCAGAGAAATGTGGGGAGCTGTCCAAGGTGTGTCCAGGAATTATCTTCCAGTGACCTGCAGGGTGGATAAGTAGGCAGAGGGGATATGATGATATCAACAGGGTCCAACCCTGAGAGGATCATCACCCTCTTTAGGCCTCAGTCTTCCCATCTATACAATAAAGAGGTTGGACTCCATGTTTTCTTAGGGTCCTTCATACCTGGATATTCTAGGTGACCGGCAGCGCACCATGCTCAGGTCACACAGCTTAGGGTGGGGACTGGGTAGAAGTTTGAGAAAAATTCTTTTTTTTTCTTTTTCTTTTCTTTCTTTCTTTTTTTTTTTTTTTTTTTTTTTTTTTTTTTTTTTTTTTTTTTTTTTTAATGGCTCTGTCTCCCACACTGGAGTACAGTGGCACAATCAGAGCTCACTGTAACCTTGAACTCCTGGGCTCAAGCAGTCCTCCTCCCTCAGCCTTCTGAGTAGCTGGGACTATAGGCCCATGCCACCATGCCTGGCTTTTTAAAATAATTTGTAGAGACAAGGTCTCTCTCTGTTGCCCAGACTAGTCTTGAACTCCTGGCTTCAAGCAGTCCTCCTGCCTTGGCCTCCCAAAGTGCTAGGATTACAAGCATGAGTCACCACTCCTGGCCATTTATTTATTTATTTTTTTAAAGGCAATCCTAAGTAGCCTCAGGCTGCTGAGGTTGAATCGCTTCAACCCAGAAGGGCTTGGCTGGGATTGGCCAAAAGGCCTCCCCAAATCCCAAACCGTTAGAGTCTAACCTCCCAAATGTGACTGGTAGCTCTGCATGCTCAGGTCCCACCCACTGCCTCTCCCCCACACTCCTCACCTCTGTGCTGCAGCCATGCCAAATTTTCAGTTCCTCCAACACTGTCAGGCAGGCCAGGCACCCTCCCATCCCTAAGCTTTGCACATTTGGAACTCACTCCAAGAGAAGAGGACTGTTTTGTTCCTCTCTGGATATCCAGAACAAGAAATGCCTGGCACATATTAGGTGCTCCATAAATATATGTTGAATGCCTCTTCCTTTCTTCCGTGAACACTCTTCCTCCTCCCCTCCATGGCCGCTGTGTGCTTCAGCCCAAAGTTTAAACTTCGTTTCTTCAGAGAAGATGACACCCTAAATAGTGCAGGTCCCCTCAAATGTGTCCTTAAGGTCCTTCACTGCTTCCTGCCCTTCACCCCAGCTATGATAAATACATTAATTGACCATGTCTGTTTGTGTTTAAGGTTTCTCTTGCCCATAGACTGAGTCTCAAGCTTTCTGGGACCGGGTCTGTCTTGTCCATTGCTTGGACACTCAATATGTATTTGTTGAATGGATGAAAAAACCCACTCTGTCCTACCTTGATCCCAGTCACAAAGCAATTAGAAGGTAGGTGTTCACACCAAGCTGCCTCTGCGACCCAAGCTGAAATGGCGTTCGGTCAGGAAAATGGGGAGATTTCACTCGATACCCCAACCCCAGCTCCCGCGGTCGCAACCTGCACACCCTGTGGACCACTTTTCATGCCTTCCCTCCAGGTTCCTGAGCTCCACTCCCATCACAGGAAGATCATTTTCTGTCCATTAAACTCATTTAGCAAGAGAACTGGGTCTGTAGGAGATACTTGGAGATCACTGGAGATCATTCCATGGGAAGGCAGATCTGTGCATGGCTGGGGAAGGTAGACACAGTTGTTTCCACCACTCCACCAAGATGACCCTTCGAAACCCAACCCCACTGAGGGGGCACTGGCCTGACCTGGCAGCCTTGCACCTGGATCAGTATTTCTCAAAATTTGGTGCACGTAAGAATGAATCTTGTCTGTAATCACAGCTTTGGGAGGCTGAGGCAGGAGGATCCCTTGAGACCAGGAGTTCCAGACCAGCCTGGGCAACATAGCAAGACTCAGTCTTTACAAAAATTAAAAAATTAGCTGGGCGTGATATATGACTCCCGCCTGTAGTCCTTGCTACTCAGGAGGCTGAGGCAGAAAGGATCACTTGAGCCAGGGAGGTCGAGGCAGTGAGCCTGATTGCTCCACTGCACTCTGGCCTCAGCAACAGAGGGAGACCCTGTCTCAAAAAAATAAAAATAATCTCCCCCACAAGCTCTCACTACTCAAGAGTGTAGTTCTGGGACCAGCAGCAACCCCAGCACCTAGGAGCTTGTTCAAAATGCAAAGCCTTACTAACAAAATAGCCATCAAACTAAGTTTTAGGTAGACAGAGGCAAACAGGAGCCTGGATACACGTGGCATGCACAGGCCGTGTGCAGGATGGAGTGAGTGCAGGTTAAAGCAGAGCTGGATTTAGTGATACACACACACACACACACACACACACACACACACACACACACGGGATTCGAGCGCACCCAGTTGCCTCCACTTGGGCATAGGCGCGGAACTGAGTCCTCCCGTTTTGAGATGCAACGGTGCAGAGACCCGGGAGCCCAGAACGCTTCCCGGGGCCCCTGGGACACCCTCGGGCGCCCCTGCGACCGCCGCCTGTGGCCAGGTCACAGCCTCCCAACTTGCCAGAGAACCCTCCTTCCCAAATCTCCCTTCGGTCCCCCGGCGCCCCTGGAAGCGCCGGAGGTGGAGGGTCCCCTCTCTCAGCCTCGTTCCTCCCCTGAGGCCCGACTGGCCGGCGCGGGCAATCAGTGCCCTGGCAAGTCCTTGAAGTCTATATTTAGTGCCCGCCACCCCTCCCCCGCACAGTTGGAAGGCGGGCGGTGGGGGGTGGGGGTGGGGAGAGCCCCGCCCCCGCCGGGCGTGTGTGTCGTGTGTGTTTGGGGCCCGCGCGGGTTGCGCGCCCTCCGCCTTCGCGCCTCCTGCCCCCGAGGCACGACTGCTGTCCCTGCGCCCCTCGCCCCGCCGGGCGTCGCGGGCCAACATGGGCCAGGAAGAGGAGCTGCTGAGGATCGCCAAAAAGCTGGAGAAGATGGTGGCCAGGAAGAACACGGTGAGGCTGCAGAGTTTGGGCCACGGCCCCCGCCCCCGGGAGGCGCGGGCAAGCCCCGGATTCCGGGGTGGGGACGTACTGGCGGGGCGCGTACGGGACTCCAGGACCCGAGCGGCTGGTGCAGGGCCTAAAGCCCCTTAGGGACCCTTGCTGAGCACCTCGAGGTGGGTGTGTGCGTGGCCCAGGACGCCAGGGGGATCTTGCGGGTCCCAGAGGCGCGACTTGTGCACGTCCCTTTGGACGTGTAGGGTTCACCCTGGGCAGCTAATGCGGGGCCCAGGAAAGCGGGCGAAGAGAGCTGGACATGGGAAAGGACTTTGGGAGTCCCAGGACTTGGCGTGTGCAAAGCCCGGGGAGTGGCGGCGATGGCAGGGGCGGGGCTGGGGGCAAATCCTGGTGGCCCGAGAAGTGGCAGAGAAACTTGGACTGACGGGGGTACTGAGCTGCATCCCTGCACCCCGGAGTGGGTCTGCGGGAGAGAAGTAAAAGGCCGTGGATCCTGCGACCCCACAGCTTGGGGCGTCAGGAGCGGTTCTTTTGGCAACTTTCCCTTTCCTTGGCCTTGGGGTGCGGCCCGGACGGGCGGGGGCCGAACAGGTGCGGGGGCCCGCGGGGCGGGGGAAGGGGGCCGGGCTGGAGGCCTGTGCAGCAAGGGCGAGGGCGGAGGGAGGAGCGGGCTCGGCGGGAGGTTGGGAGCAGGGCTGACAGCCCTACCGGAGGGTCCTGGCCAGAGCGCAGATCCAACTGGAAGTTAATGTTTGATCTTCCCCGTGATCTTTGCCTGGGGTTGGCGGCCGACTGGTCGCCTGGCCAGAGCAAATTTGGCCTTGGGTCCTGGAGGGCCTGGGCTCGTCCTGGGAGGAAAGAAAGGGAGCCTGGTGAGCATGACCATCCCACCTCCCCGCCCTGTCCCTGGGTCCTCTTCCTCCCACCATCGGTAGCCATGTGCTGCAGCCACCTGCACTTCCAGGACCTAGAAGCCTGGGAAAGGAAGAGACCCTAAGGGAAGTTTTAGAGCCAGGAAGAGTAGCCAAGGCCCAGGGAAGGGTCGCTGGAACCATGGAGTGGCAGGGTGGACACTGGGCAGTCATGAGTTGGTGTCTATATAAAGGCCAGAGCCTCAGTTTCTCCATCTGTAAGAAAGAGATGAGATTATCTGCCTCTGGAGAAGGGATGTCACTGGATTCTTGTCTCTGCTGGCAGCGATGAGGATTGGAGAGATGAGACAGAGATGTAAACCCCTTAGTAGGACTCAGACCTGTGCTTGGTAAGAGCTGGCGAACAAGATCTGCTTCTAGGCAGCCAGGTCCAACACAAAAATGTACAGCACAAACCTGCAGAGTGCTGGGAGCTTCTCACCCGATACTCCCAACCTCTACGCGCTCCCTATTCCAGACTCCTCCACAATACTCAGTGCAACTGAACCTCAAGTCATGAGGGGCATTTTCTCAGCTGGGGTTGGCGGAGCCCAGCCAGGGATTCTGAGCCAAATTCTAGTTCAAATAGACAGGTTATCCCAGCCCAGCTCCTTACTGACCCCCAAGTTTGGGCCAGGAAAGAAATTCTGGGCCTCTGGGTAAGAGGGGTAGGGTGGGGACGCCTAGAGACCCAGGGACAGGCAGCCTGCTTGGGTTAGAGCTCTGGCTGAAGATGAAGGAACCGGCCATGGCCTCCCCCTCACTCCTTTTATGACCCTAGGCAAAAGCCACTCAACCTTCCCTCTCTGGGCCTCAAGTTTCCTCTTCTGTGAAGTGGGAAGAGAAAATGGTGTCTTTTGGAGATGGATTCCTGTGGAAGTGCCCAGAGCTGTCCCCAGAAAGATGCAAGTCTGGCCGCAGGGTCCCTGCAGCGTGGAGCCAGTTTACAGCCACGTCTGCGCCTGGACTTTTGGCAGCATCTGGGTGGGCACGGAGCTCTGGGCGTCTGGCCGAGAAAGGTGGGGCCTGCTCTGGGAGTGAAAGTGGACCCGCCCAGCGGTGGTTAGGCAGAGGAGGACATACTTCCTGTAATAAGACGGATCCTCCACGTTGCAGCTCAGGCCTGGGGTTTACTGCCAATTGCTGAAGTCTCAGCCACTTAGGGCTTTGTCACATCCTCTGAGCATGCACTAACAGAAGCAACTTCAAACATACAACAAAGTGCCTACGGTCACAGCTACACACACACACACATAGCTATAATGTGCGGCTACAACACAGCAGTTAAACAAGCAACTCAACCTAACTGCATATGAGACACGGCTACTGACACCAACATGACAAGCATCCTGATCCATATGACCCACACTGACCATTAGAGTTACAGAATGATACACAAAGACAGCCACACACGTGCGCACGCAGTACAGCTACACCCAGACATGCAATGCTACAGACTTAGCAAACAGCCACATGTATACATTCAGATGTTATAACACAGGCATCATCCCATAAAGACAAATAGACACAGCTGTGCCTGGAGCTGCATATTCACAGCTCCACACTTAGACCAGAGATACTGCTGGCTGCAGAACCCATATGTGTATTCAGAGAGATACACCCAGCAACATTTGCACAAGGCTTTGTGAACCCAGCTACAATCCAGGCTCATGGCTGTTCTCCTCCAATATGACCCAGTTATACAACCGTGACACACGAGGCATATACCCAGTGGGGAGCTGGAACTGGCTTAACACTGATTGTTGCATTTTCAGGAATTTTGCAACCTGGTGGTTAAACACAGCAATTGTTTAAAAAAATTACATTATCTGCTTACAATTAAATAAATTATATTAAAAACAAAGGTAACGAATCTTCCAAAATAATCACTTCCTGATTATTTTACTACATTGTACTGTCATGTACGGTCAGAGGTAATTTACTTCTATTGTTATCTGTACGGTGGAAATGCTATAGAATGTACATCTATAGTACTGTACATCTCCTCCCAAAACTTCCTTCGGTTCAGTGACAGCATGTCGGTAGCTTGAAATTGGCCATAGGATGAGTGTTTACACCACAGAAATTGGCAAACACTATAGGTCAGTTGTTTTTTTTCCCCCCTTGAGAACTGGTTGTTAAACGTTGGCCAGCACACCACTGCACTTACCCATGTTGATATTCCATGATTGTGTATGTGTAGACAGATCTATGCCTACGCTAACACAATTTGTATAGTAGTTAGAGCCCAAAAGGCCTGAGTTTGAATCCTTGCTTGGCTCCTTATAAAGCATGTGACCTTGAGAAAATTACTTAACTTCTCTGTTTCTTGGATTGCTCCTTGGTGAACATGGGATAATAATTCTGTAAAAATGGGACTAATACGCAGGACCCACCCGATAGGGTCATTGTGAAACTTAAATGAGATAATGCAGGTGAAATACTTAGAAGAGTATCCAGTACATAGCAAGCCTTTAATTAATATTACACTTGGAGTTGTGCACCCCCAAGTTCACATGCACACACATCTGCAGGTCACGCCTCTGAAAACATGCTGCGAACCCAAGTTCTCAGGGAGGCTAAGGACTGACAGAGGGCAGCTCTTGGGACATGGTCCAGGTCCTGGCAGGGTGGGGATTGGCAGCTGGAACGATGAAGTGTGGGCCAAGGATAGGAACATACAGGACACAGTCAGCTGGTGCTCCCCAGGGAACTGATCTCAGGACAGCAGGCAGGTATGGCTTCTAGGAAGGGGTTGGGGAAAAGGAAAAGGCTGAAATGGGTCAGAGGGTGTCCAGGGCCTGGCAGCTCACAGATTTTCAAACCTAAACCTTATTTTTCTCCCGCCCGCCTTCTTTCTGCTTTAATCCTGCACAAGTTCATCCACTCAGGAAGCACTGGGCTCTCTGCTGAGCCCTAAGGTCTCAGAGATTAGAACAGTTCTCTTTACCTGAGAGAAGTCAAAGTATCTGTCCACACAAAGAGTTGAAATGAATGTACCTAGGAGCTTTATTTTTAGCAGCCCCAAACTGGAACCTATCCATAAGTCCCATCAACCAGTGAATGAATTTAAAACATTGTAGTAGACTGAGCGTGGTGGCTCACGCCTGTAATCCCAGCACTTGGGGAGGCCAAGGCAGGAGGATCACTTGAGACCAGAATTTTGAGACCAGCTTGGGCAACATGGCAAAACCCCATCTCTACAAAACAATACAAAAAATTAGCCAGATGTGGTGGTTCATACCTGTGGTCCCAGTTATTCGGGAGGCTGAGGTGGGAGGATCACCCAAGCCTGGAAAGTCAAAGCTGCAGTGATTGTGCCACTGTGCTCCAGCCTGGGCAACAGGGTGAGATCTTGTCTCAAAACAAACAAACAAACAAACAAACAAACAAACAAACAAACTGTGGTACAATACATACAGTGGAAAACCACTCAGCAATAAAAATGAACTACTGATCCACGAGACAACATGGATGAGTCTCAAAAATAATTATGCCGAAATAAGCCAGATAAAAAAGGGGTTTTGCCCTACATACTCTCTATATAAAATCCTTAAAGATACAAGGTCACCCATAGTAACAGAAGGCAGGATTGTGGTTGTTTAGGATTGGGGATGGGGAGGGATGGATTAGAAAGAGGACAGGAAGAAGCTTTTGGGGCTGGTGGCTGTGCTTTTATCTTGATTATGGTAAGGATTCCATGGGTGTACAGGTATGTTGAAACTCATCAAAATTTTACGCTGTAAAATATGCAGTTATTGTACATCAATTATACCTCAATAAAGCTGTTTTTTTGTTTCGTTTTGTTCGAGTTGGAGTCTCGCTCTGTCACCCAGGCTGGAGTGCAGTGGCGCCGTCTTGGCTCACTGTAACCTCCATCTCCCGGGCTCAAGCGATTTTCCTGCCTCAGCCTCCTGAGTAACTGGGGTTATGGGCATGTGCCACCACGCCTGGCTAATTTTTGTATTTTAGTAGAGATGGGGCTTCACCATGTTGGCCAAGCTGGTCTTGAACTCCTGGCCTCAAGTGACCCACCCACCTCAGCCTGCCAAAGTGCTGGAATTATAGGTGTGAGCCACCGTGCAGGCCAAGCTGTTTTGTTTTGTTTTTTAAAAAGCCCCCAGTCCTCAGCCTGCGAAGTTCACAGTGGGGAGGTAAGGGGAGGACCTTCAGGCACACGAGCAACAATAAGCCAGGAAGGAATTCATTTTGGAGGAAAGATGGGGAAAGGGGAGGGCATTCCTGGGAAGAGGCACAGCAGAGCCAAAGGCTGGAGGTCAGGAGCCTGGCTCAGAGGGTTTGAACCCAGCAGGTGGAAGGGGATGAAGTTAGAGCATCGTCTAGGACAGAATGTTTCTCGTCTCTCTCCTTCCTTCTGCCCCTTGCCTGTCCTTCGGCCACGTGTCTGTATTCTCCTCCTCCATGTACCAAGACCACACAGTAGTCAGAGAAGCCCGGGCAGGACCCGGGCCCCAGTCCTCACCTTGTGGTCTCCCACAGGAAGGGGCCCTGGACCTTCTGAAGAAGCTGCACAGCTGCCAGATGTCCATCCAGCTACTACAGGTGGGGTGGGGGCGGGAAGCCTTAGGGCAGTGCCTGGGAGGAGAGCTGGTGGGTGAGGGAAAGACTCCCAAAGGGGGAAGGTGGAGTCTGGGAGGAATTTCTGAGGGGAGGCCGCGGGGGTGGGAATCTTGAGGTGCAGACCTCCCAGGGAGGGACTGAGGGGAACACAGGGGCATCTTGGGGGCAGAGAGGGTACCTTCTAGGTGTCAGGGACCTCTGGGCCTTGGAGCAAGACTGGTTTGCTTTTCTTGAATACTCCAATTACCAAGGCCCTGGGCCTGTGGGATCCAGGAGGCCAATGATCCAGGGAGAGGGAAAAGTCCCCCATTTAAAAATCCCTGTGTGGCTCTTAAAGTCCCCAAATTTACCAAAAGCTCCTGGCCGTGAAAAATGAGCACAGACAGATGCAAGGTCTCATAGCTGGAGCTGCTGTCTCAGTTGAAACTGGAGCTCAAAGACACTAGAGGGAGCTGGCCACGGTGGCTCTCGCCTGTAATCCCAGCACTTTGGGAGGCCAAGGCGGGCAGATCACCTAAGGTCAGGAGTTCAAGACCAGCCTGGCCAGCATGGTGAAACCCCGTTTCTACTAAAGATACAAAAAGTAGCTGGGCACGGTGACAGACACCTGTAATCCCAGCTACTCGGGAGGCTGAGACACGAGAATCACTTGAACCTGGGAGGTGGAGATTGCAGTGAACTGAGACTGCACCACTGCACTCCAGCCTGGGCAACACAGCGAGACTCCATCTCAAAAAAATAGACACTAGAGGGTTGGGAATGGGAGGGGTCCTGACAGTCAGCCAAGAGCCGACCCCAACCCTAGGTGCAGCCTTTCACCAAAGCCACAGGTATCCTCTATGTCAGGCTTAGCCCTGGGCCCTCGACCTCGTGCAGAGCAGGGCCTCAGTTATAGTAGTGGGGTTCTGACCTCAGCCAGGAGTCAGGGCTAGGACTCTGGGGATACAGGTTGGAAGGGGAGGTGGTGGTAGAGCTGGGGCAGGACCTGCCAATGAGGGCAGCCATTCCTGTGTATCCATTCCCCGATCATGCCTTAACCCTGTCACTTTGCAGACAACCAGGATTGGAGTTGCTGTTAATGGGGTCCGCAAGCACTGCTCAGACAAGGAGGTGGTGTCCTTGGCCAAAGTCCTCATCAAAAACTGGAAGCGGCTGCTAGGTGAGACAGGACAAGGTTGACTTGAATCCTGTTTTTCTTCTAGCACTTGGGACAGGACTGGCCCTGACTCATAGCTGGCACTCAGTGTATGTCTGTTGAGTGACTTAATCAGTGACAGATGCCCTCTGGATCTGGGAGGTAGCTAGTGGGGGACTGCCAATGTTTGTGTACATAAGTACAAGATTTGTAGACTTGTGAGTTTTGTGTACATGCGACCCTTATGTGTTTGTGCTCTCACGCATTTGTCTATATAATACATGTCTACATACATGCATTTATCTGAATATGTGCAGAGGTGTGTTTGCCAGTGTATTTATGTCCCCATGTGAGAATGCATATTTGTACACATGGTTCTGTTGTATGTGCATTTGTGTGTAAATGTGTTTGCGTGTGTGTTGGGAGTGTGTGTGCAGCTGTCCTCGTCCCTGCCCTTTTTTGCTCCCTGCCCACTAAAGTCATGCTGGGTTCTGCTGAGACAGAGCTTAGCTGAGGGACAATGCCACCCTTTTGCTTTCAGATTCCCCTGGACTCCCAAAAGGAGAAAAAGGAAAGGAAAGAGAAAAAGCAAAGAAGAAGGAGAAAGGGCTTGACTGTTCAGACTGGAAGCCAGAAGCAGGCCTTTCTCCACCACGGAAAAAACGAGAAGACCCCAAAACTAGGTATTCTTTTCTGGGATGGAGACAAGGGAGCTGGCACTTGTCACGTCCTCTGCCAGCAGCTCTGTGTATATTATCTCATTTAAACCTCACATCCTGGGGAGGAAGATATTGGTATTATCTCATGCAGTGCCCCCTCTGGGGGTCTTCTTTGGCTCAACCAGACGTTAGACTCACAAGACCCAAATAGGCCATAAGTAGTACTGGCTTTGCCTAGAAGGATGCAGGGACAGGAAAGAGTGCGTCTGCAGGAAGGCCTCCAGCATTCCTCTACAAAGAGTTCCCATAGGAGACCACACAGCAGTCTAGAGCTCTTCTCTGGCCCACCCAGGCAACAGACTGGGTGCAGGGAAACAAGACCACAGTGGGTGTATACCTCACTTCCAAGTCTTGTAACAGTCCCAAAGACAAAGTTTCCAAGATGCTAGCAAAGGCAATAGCCACTTATAAGATTCACTGCACCTGGTGTGGTGGCTCACACCTGTAATCCCAGCACTTTGGGAGGCTGAGGCAGGAGGATCACTTGAGCCCATGAGTTTGAGACAAGCCTGGGCAACATGGCAAAACTCCGCCTCTACAAAAAATACAAAAATTAGCCAGGTGTGGTGGTGCGCACCTGTAATCCTAGCTACTCTGGAGGCTGAGGTGGGAGAATCACTTGTGCCCGGGAGATGGAGATTGCAGTGAGTTGAGATTGCGCCACTGCACTCCAGCCTGAGCAACAGAGCAAGACGCTATCTCAAAAACAAACAAAAACCAAGACATATATTATAAATTAAAAGGATCTCTACTTTCTGTATTATACAATAAAAATTTTAAATCTGAATCATTGGGATTTTTCACAATGATCCTATACTGCTTTTGAAACAAAAAAATAATAGTAGTGCTTTTAAAAACTAAACAAATAAGAGTGATAAAAATCTGTTGTAGAAAATAATGGAAGGCCGGGCACAGTATCTCACCCCTGTAATCCCAGCACTTTGGGAGGCCAAGGTGGGTGGATCAGCTGAGGTCGGGAGTTCGAAACCAGCCTGACCAACATGAAGAAACCCCATCTCTACTAAAAATACAAAATTAACTGGGCATGGTGGCACATGCCTGTAATCGCAACTACTCAGGAGGCTGAGGCAGGAGAATCACTTGAACCCGGAAGTTGGAGGTTGCAGTGAGCCGAGATCGCGCCATTGCACTCCAGCCTGGGCAACAAGAGTGAAACTCCGTCAAAAAAAAAAAAAAAGAAAAATTTAGAAAAGTAGAAAAAAAAAATCACCCACATTCCCACCACCCAAAGACAATCACCACTCTTGATGTGTTGGTGTATGGCTTTTCTTTCTGTTCTCTCTTTGACTTGTTTTCTATAGTCATCCCCAATTTTAACAGCCTGCTTTTTAAAAGGTAATGCCTGTGAGATGGTTTTGTCACATTTTCTATGTTCCGTTCCTTTCCATTGCTTATTTTGCAAGTGTATCCTACTTGGAAAAACCCTAACTGACATCTAAAAATTATTCTACCAAAGAGACACATGCACTTGTGTGTTCATCACAGTACTATTCATAATAGCAAAGATGGTCGGGCGTGGTGGCTCACGTCTATAATCCCAGTACTTTGGGAGGCCAAGGCGGGCAGATCACTTGAGGTCAGGAGTTCGAGACCAGCCTGGCCAACATGGTGAAACCCTGTCTCTACTAAAAATACAAATATTAGCTGGGCATGGTGGTGGGTGCCTGTAATCCCAGCTACTCAGGAGGCTGAGGCAGGAGGATCGCTTGAATTTGGGAGGCTGAGGTTGCAGTGAGCCAAGATCACCCCACTGCACTCCAGCCTGGACAACAGAGCGAGATTCTGTCTTTAAAAAAAAAAAAAAGAACATACATATGGGCCGAGCAAGGTGGCTCACGCTTGTAATCCCAGCACTTAGGGAGGTGGAGGCAGGTAGATCACTTGAGCTCAGGAGTTAGAGACCAACGGCGAAATCCCATCTCTATTAAAAGTAAGAAAAATTAGCTGGGCGTGGTGGCATGCACCTGTGTTCCCAGCTACTTGGGAGGCTAAGGTGGGAGAATCACTTGAGCCTGGGAGGCAGATGTTACAGTGAGCAGAGGTCACACCACTGCACTCTGGCCTGGGTGAGAAGTGAGACTCCCTCTCAAAAAAAAAAAAAAAAAAAAATTCATATACACATTGATATTTATATTTTGTTAATAAAATTTGAAGTGCACTATACATTTTCAGGGACACTAAATTGTTATGCCTGGTCACTTTTCACAGCCATGGAGCTCTGAAGTGAAGTTGTTGCTGAGGCTGAGCAGAAAATGGAGAGGTTTCTCCTCATTCTGCTGGGAGAAGCCAGTTGTCAGGGGTCCTATTTCAGCTCAGTTAATTAATTTCCTTTCTTTTTAGTTTTCTTAATGATAATTCATTATACAAACACTGTAACCACATTAGTGCAACTTAGAATAAGCATGGGAAATATTTGTGCACATCAGACAAATTAAGCAGCTTTTATTTTTCTTCCTCTCCTCTCCCAGGCCTGGTCTAACTACATACATAATTTTTCTATTCCTTTAGGCAGAGTGGTTTTTTTCTTGTTTTTTTGTTTTTTTGTTTTTGAGGCGGAATTTCACTCTTTTTGCTCAGGCTGGAGTGCACTGGTGCAACCTCGGCTCACTGCAACCTCTGCCTCCTGGGTTCAAGCGATTCTCCTGCCTCAGCCTCCCGAGTAGCTGGGATTACAGGTACCTGCCACCATGCCCAGCTAATTTTTTTTTTTTTTTTTTTTTTTTTTGAGGTGGAGTTTCGCTCTTGTTGCCCAGGCTGGAGTGCAATGGCACGATCTCAGCTCACTGCAACCTCTGCCTCCCAGGTTCAAGTGATTCTTTTACAGGCATGAACCACTGCGCCCAGCCTCTTTACTGCCTCCTGAGTAACTGAGATTACAGGCATGTGCCACCACGCCTGGCTATTTTTTGTATTTTTTTTTTAGTAGAGACAAAGTTTCTCCATATTGCTCGGGCTGGTTTCGAACTCCCGACATCAGGTGATCTGCCCGCCTCAGCTTCCCAAAATGCTGGAATTACAGGCGTGAGCCACTGCGCCCAGCCTTTTTGTATTTTTAATAGAGACAGGGTTTCACCATGTTTAACCAGGCTGGTCTTGAACACCTGACCCCAGGTAATCCACCCACCTCAGCCTCCCAAAGTGCTGGGATTACAGACGTGAGCCGCCATGCCCGGCCAATTTTTTTTTTTTTTCCAGACAGAGTCTTGCTCTGTTTCCCAGGCTGGAGTGCAGTGGCGCGATCTTGGCTCACTGCAAGCTCTGCCTCCCAGATTCACGCCATTCTCCTGCCTCAGCCTCCCGAGTAGCTGGGACTACAGGTGCTCGCCACCACTCCTGGCTAATTTTTTGTATTTTTAGTAGAGATGGGGTTTCACCATGTTGGCCAGGATGGTCTTGATCTCCTGACCTCGCGATCCACCTGCCTTGGCCTCCCAAAGTTCTGGAATTACAGGCATGAGCCACTGTGCCCGACTTTTTTTTTTTTTTTGAGATAGCGTCTCACTGTGTTGCCCAGGCTGGAGTGCAGTGGCATGGTCACAGTTCACTGCAGCCTGCAACACCTAGGCTCAAGTGATCCTCTAACCTCAGCCTCCTGAGTAGCTGGTAGTGTGGGTGCAAATTACTTTTTTTAAATATAAAACAGTATTTGAATTTTTGTCCTTAGGAACTATAAAGATTATACATGATTTGGAAATAAGACTGTAGCAAACAATGGCCAAAGAAGAGTCACCCATTCTGTGCCTTCTCCTTTGTCTGGTCACTCAGAAATATCCTACTATCAGCTATTGTTGTGGGAAACTGAGGACCAGAGAGACCAGTAGGAGAACAGGATTGTTTATTTAAGGTATACACCGGCCCAGTGGATTCATATCTAAAAAGCTGAGCATTTTAACAAAGACGGAGCAGGGTTTTTATAAGCAGTCTTACAGAAGCAAAGCAAAAGCAGTTAATTATATGATAGGTCACATAATCTACAGCATAGCATAACTTGTGGCTTTGCATAGCTGGTGGCCTTGTAGCTGTATTGAAAGAAAAAAAAGAACTGACTAAATACAGACATTTGTAAAACATAGTCATGCTTAAGAAGCCAGGGAAAGGAGTAATAGTAAAGGAATTTGTCTTTCTTTCTTTTTTTCCTTCAACCTTGCTCTGGAGAGGAGGGGGGTCTAGAGCCCATTCCTTTGGCCTTCGCTTCTCAAACAGCATTATCTTATAACTGTCCTTGAAGTGAGCTTGCTAGGCAGAGGAAAATTTGTTCTTTTCTTTTAACCCTTGCCTTGCCTGTAACTTTTCTTAGAGTGAATGAATGCATATTTATTTTTAAATTTCTGCCTCACTATGATTGTTGTTGCTTGTCACCTCCCATTATTTTTATCCGTGTATTCACCATAGTCTACTTTTTCTTCTGCATAAATTCAAGACCCTTGGCTGGGTGCAGTGGCTCATGCCTGTAATCCCAGCACTTTGGGAGGCCAAGATGGGCGGATCACTTGGGGTCAGAAGTTTGAGACCAGCCTGGCCAACATGACAAAACCCCATCTCTACTAAAAATACAAAAATTAGCTGGAAATGGTGGCGTGCACCTGTAATCCCAGCTACTCAGGAGGCTGAGGCATGGGAATCCCTTGAACCCAGGGGATGGTGGTTGCAGTGAGCTGAGATGGTGCCATTCTATTCCAGCCTGGGTGACAGATTGAGACTCCATCTCAAAATAAATAAATAAAAATAAAAATATATTCCAGACTCCTTTTTCACTGATGTGCGACATCTCCAAGGCCTGGCTAGAATGCTGATATTCTGTGCCATGTCATCTTGACAGACATCACCCATTTGGCACACTTCCCTGTCCCCTGATCACCACATCTCATTTGCTGCTAGAGAAAATATTGTGCTGGAGTATTTCCTTCCATCTGTCTCATGATAGGGTCCTAACCCACTTGCCCGAGTAACTGCACACAATTCAGGGACATTTCGAGAAGCAAAGTGCTAGCTGTTTTGGACTCATGCCTTACAAACTGATGAAGTATCTGTAATACAGGTCTTCGAAACATGGTTTCTATTTTCTTTCTTTTTTTATTTTTTATTTTTGAAACGGAGTCTCTCTCTGTCCCCTAGGCTGGCATGGTCTCAGCTCACTGGAAACACTATCTCCCAGGTTCAAGTGATTCTTCTGCCTCAGCCTCCGAGTAGCTGGGATTACAGAGCACGCCACCATGCCTGGCTAATTTTTGAATTTTTAGTAGAGACGGGGGTTTCACCATATTGACCAGGCTGGTCTTGAACTCCTGACCTCAAGTGACCTGCCTGCTTTGGCCTCCCAAAGTGCTGGGATTACAGGTGTGAGCCACCACGCCCAGCTGGTTTCTATTTTCTTACAGTCTAATCTTTAGACTTTTCCTGATACTCTAGCCCAGACCTGTATCAACTAATATGTCACCTTTTTATTTATCTTGCTATCGTATTCTAAGCATTTTTTCATGTTCCTGAATAGTTTTCATAACAGTCATTTGCAATAACTGCAGAGCATTTCTGATTTGTTCTAAAAAGAAAAGCAATGAGGAAGAGTCAGAAAGTGGTTCTCCAGGGTGGAGTCTCGTGTCTTCTCTCCCCTCTCCCACTGTAGGAATTCCAGCTTATGGTTCCTGCTTGCATTGTCTATCCCCAAGGGGCACTAAGGAGAAACCCCACAGAACAACTCCCAGGGCCTGTTGTGGGAGTGCAGGGGCATGTGAATGAGGACCTCTCTTCCCCTCTCCCGTGTGTCTGGTGGAGGGCTGCTCCTGGGGTCATTAGTTAGTGACCAGCACTTCCAGCCAGCCTAGCTGAGGGAGAGAACTCCCTCAAACAGAGGCCCTGGGGAGCTTGCAGGAGGCAGCTCTTGGGTCCAGAGGCCACTGAGAGAGTGACCACCCAAGGGGAAGTGGGCTGAGCACAGATAGTGTTCACCACAGTGACCAAAACCTGCCAAATGCTGCTCTTGTGGAATTTACATGGGGTGTCAGACAATAAATATAATTAAATATAAATAAGTAAATTGGCCGGGCGCGGTGGCTCACGCCTGTAATCCCAGCACTTTGGGAGGCCGAGGTGGGCAGATCACCTGATGTCAGGAGTTTGAGACCAGCCTGGCCAACATGGTGAAACACCCTCTCTACTAAGAATATAAAAATTAGCTAGGCGTGGTGGCACGTGCCTGTCATCCCAGCTACCCGGGAGGCTGAGGCAGGAGAATCGAACCCAGGAGGCGGAGGTCTCAGTGAGCCGCTAAGATAGCACCACTGCACTCCAGCCTGGGCAACAGAGTGAGACTCTGTCTCAAAGAAAAAAAAGTCAATTATGCTAGTCAAGTATGCTAGAAGGTGACATGTACTATGGAATTAAAAGGAGGGCAGGGTAAGTGAGATGGGGAGTGGGGTTTGCAATTAACTAACAGATTAATTTTTTAAAACCAGTAAAAAGAAGAACTACATTATACATCATAAAAAGAATGTACCTGCATGCATTTTGGAAAAATTGGGGGAAAAATTCACTTTTTTTTTTTTTTTTTTGAGACGGAGTCTCGCTCTGTTGCCCAGGCTGGAGTGCAGTGGCCAGATCTCGGCTCACTGCAAGCTCTGCCTCCTGGGTTTACGCCATTCTCCTGCCTCAGCCTCCCGAGTAGCTGGGACTACAGGCGCCGGCCACCTCGTCCAGCTAGTTTTTTGTATTTTTTAGTAGAGACGGGGTTTCACCGTGTTAGCCAGGATGTTCTCCATCTCCTGACCTTGTGATCCACCCGTCTTGGCCTTCCAAAGTGCTGGGATTACAGGCTTGAGCCACCGCGCCTGGCCGAAAAATTCACCTTTAAACCCATCACCCTAGCTGTAAACAGCATTTGAATATATTTTCTTTAGATCTACTTTTCCTCCTGTGCATTGGTTTTCTTGCGTGACTTTAGTCACAATCCGCATCTAATTTTGTCTCTTGCTTTTCTGATTGCTATTTTAACCCAGCTCTTCTATCCCCAAGGCCCATGTGTTTCTCCTCTTCTCCTCCTAAAGTGCCTGCCAGGGAGGCTGAAGCTGATCTTTCTGTTTCTCTGGTTCCAGATAAGTACAGACAACTCCAGGAATCCAGTCTCTGTGGACTCCAGTTAGCTAAGGCCTGCCTGACAGCCAGGAGGACAGGGGCCTGCTGAGAATAGTTGTTAATAATGAGCAACACAACACATGTCACATACATGTGACATGTGTTAGGCCCTTGGCAGATATCGACTTCCTTCCCTTGTATTGGTTCATTTGATGGAGGGTAGGTGAAGGTCATGACCAGCCGGCACCGCCTGGAGCTCCCTCTCCCACGTAGCTGTGGTCCGGGTGGGCTTCCTTAGCCTCAATCCAGCTGGCCTTTTCCCAGGATGCTTTCTCCCCACCTTCCTGTCAGCACTGATGCTAGCCTACAAAGCAGTCTCATCGCCAATTTCTCTTCTTTCAGGAGAGACTCTGTGGACTCCAAGTCTTCTGCCACCTCCTCTCCAAAAAGGCCATCAGTGGAAAGGTAAAGGAAGCCACAGCCTTCTCCATCCCAATGTCCTATTCAGCTTGTGTCCCGTTCTCTGTTTTTATGGAGGAAGCCTAAGGCAGAGGAAAGGAGGGAAGGAAGAAACATCCTACGTTATGTTGCCCCCATATTCTAACACCCACACAGTCTTCCCACATTTCAGCCCTGGGGGACCCTCTGGATGTGCCTTTCATCTCTCTGTGGTCAGTTGCTCAATTCATCATGTATTCATTCATGTATTTATTCATTCATCCATTTAGCAAGTGGGCCCCTGAATCAGGCGTGTGGCTCCTTCCCTGGGACGGCTGACTGGTTGCTGTTGCCCCATCACTGTCAGGCGACCAGTCTCAAGGTCTGATTGAACCCAGTGAGGACAGAGGTCTTGAAAGCCGATACCTAGGCTGGGCACAGTGGCTCATGCCTGTAATCCCAGCACTTTGGGAGAACGAGGTAGGCAGATCACTTGAGGTCAGGAATTCGAGACCAGCCTGGCCAACATGGCAAAACCCTGCCTCTACTAAAAATACAAAAATTAGCCAGGCATGGTGGTGGGCACCTGTAATCCCAGCTACTCGGGAGGCTGAGGCAGTAGAATCACTTGAACCCGGGAGGCAGATGTTGCAGTGAGTCGAGGTCACGCCACTGCACTCCAGCCTGGGCAACAGAGTGAGACTCCCTCTCAAAAACAAAAACAAAACAATGGCCAGGCACAATGGCTCACACCTGTAATCCTAGCACTTTGGGAGGCTGAGGCGGGCGGATCACGAGGTCAGGAGATTGAGACCATCCTGGCTAACACGGTGAAACCCCGCCTCTACTAAAAAAAATACAAAAAAATTAGCCAGGCGTGGTGGTGGGCGCCTGTAATCCCAGCTACTTGGGAGGCTGAGGCAGGAGAATGGCGTGAACCTGGGAGGTGGAGCTTGCAGTGAGCTGAGATCGCGCTGCTGCACTCCAGCCTGGGCTGCAGAGCGAGACTCTATCAAAAAAAAAAAAAAAGCCTATACCTGGAGTGGCCTCTCTCTGGATTTGGGCTGAACTGGCTAGGATGTCTACCCAAAAAATCATCCAGTCATTTAGTCATCAAATATTTATTGAGGGCTTACTATGTGGTGAGAACTATTCTAGGTGCCAGGGATATAGAAATTCACAAAAGAGACAAAAATCCCTGCAGTGATGGGGGGCCTTTAGTCTAAATAGGGGGAGACAGGTAAAGTTTAGAAGGTGACAAGTCCTATGGAAAACAGAAGCAGAGAGGGAAGAGGATTGGGGAAGGATATTCATGGAGTTATCAGAAAAGGCCTCATTGAGGAAGTGACCGTTAGGCAACAGCTTGAAAGAGGGTTTTAGCCAAGCAGATAATTGGCATCATTCCAAGCCAAGCACCCTGAGGTTGGGCTGTGCCTGGCAGAGTCAAGGAGCAGTGAGGTGGCCAAGGGCTGGAGTAGTTTAAGCAAGGGGGAGAGTTGGAGGCATGAGTAAAGCTGGAGCTATTGGAGGATACCGAGGGCGGGAATGATGTCACCAAATTTATCAGGATGGCTCTGGCTGCTGTGCCAGGAATGAAGGAGCAGCAACACCAGCCAGGAGGCTGTTGTGGTAATTCAGGCAAGATATCACAGTGGCACGGATGAGGGAGGTAATGGTGGAAGTAGGGTGAAGGGGTGGTTTCAGGATATATCTTGACAGGAAAGCTGACAGAACTTCCTGACAGATTGAATGTGGGGAATGAGAGAAACAGAGGAGTCAGGGATGAGTCCAAGATTTTTCACTTGAGCATCTGCAAGGATGGAGTCGCCATGAATTGGCATGGGGAAGACTGTGCTTATGCAAATCAGGCTTGGGGTGGAAAATTCAGAGTTCAGGTCTCGATGTGTTGGATTTGAGGCGTGTGTTAGTCATTCAGTTGGAGAAGTCGAATATGCAGTTGGATTATATGAGGCTACAATTCAGGAAGAAAGTCTCAGCTGGAAATATAAATTGCAGAGTCAAGGCCAGGTGCGGTGGCTCATGCCTGTAATCCCAGCACTTTAGGAAGCCGAGGTGGGCAGATGGCTTGAAGCTGGGAGTTCAAGACCAGCCTGGCCAACATAGAGAAACCCCATCTCTGCTAAAAATACAACAGTCAGTCGGCATGGTGGCAGGTGCCTGTAATCCCAGCTACTCAGGAGGCTGAGACAAGAGAATCACTTGAACCTGGGAGGCAGAGGTTGCAGTGAGCTGAGATCGCGCCACTGAACTCAGCCTGGGGGACAGAACGAGACTCCATCTCAAAACAAAACAAAAATTGTAGTCATTAGTGTGTAACTGACATCTGAAGAACCTGGATGAGAGCACCAAGGAGAGATTGTGAGTAAAGGAATGGGTGTGAAGTGTGGTCTAAGAGAGTGGTCAGAGGTCACAGGAGGAGAAACAGGGCCAAGGAGAGCAGGCCAGACCAGGAAGTGGCCAAGCAGCAGATCAAGGAGAACGATTAGGGTCCGTGGGGCCATGTTGGGTTTTGGGGCACCCTGGTGGGAAGCTGCAGAATTATTTTAAGCCTAATGTATCAGTAAGATTGCCATTGGAAAGAAAAGTAGAGACACAAAAATTAGGTGGTTTAAGGTTTTATGAAGATTAAACAGGGCCGGGCGCGGTGGTTCAAGCCTGTAATCCCAGCACTCTGGGAGGCCGAGACGGGCGGATCATGAGGTCAGGAGATCGAGACCATCCTGGCTAACATGGTGAAACCCTGTCCCTACTAAAAAATACAAAAAACTAGCCTGGCGTGGTGGCAGGCGCCTGTAGTCCCAGCTACTTGGGAGGCTGAGGCAGGAGAATGGCGTAAACCCGGGAGGCGGAGCTTGCAGTGAGCTGAGATCCGGCCACTGCACTCCAGCCTGGGTGACAGAGTGAGACTCCGTCTCAAAAAAAAAAAAAAAAAAAAAAAAAAAAAGGATTAAACAGGCCTAGGCTGTATTGCACACCTCCATCCAGCATGGCAGCTGCTCCAGCTGATGAGTGGAAGCTATCTGGAGTGCTGATTGGAGAGGGAATCAGAGGCTGTAGAAAAAGTTCTGCAGTCAATTAGCAATGTCTGATGTGGGTCAGGCCTAGAAATGGTGGCTCCTAGAAATGGTTCTAGACCAGTGGATCTCAGCAGGGGTCATTTAGAAATGTGTGGAGGCATTTTGGGTTGTCACTATGACTTGGGCCAAAGTAGGGGTAGGGCGAGAAGGAGGGGGATACTCCTGACATTTCGTGGCAGGAACCAGAGATGCCACGTGTGAAGACTTTCCTGGATAATGAAGGGTCATCTTATTCCCAGATGAAACACTGGCCACTTGTGACATTCTGGATTTGATACTGTAATAAAACCACTCGGGTGGGGCACGGTGGCTCATGCCTGTAATCCCAGCACTTTGGGAGGCCAGGGCGGGTGGATCACGAGGTCAGGAGATTAAGGCCATTCCTGGCTAACACGGTGAAACCTCGTCTCTACTAAAAATATAAAAAATTAGCTGGGCGTAGTGGCGAGCTCCTGTAGTCCCAGCTACTTGGAAGGCTGAGGCAGGAGAGTGGCGTGAACCTGGGAGGCAGAGCTTGCAGTGAGCTGAGATCGCGCCACTGCACTCCAGCCTGGGCGACAGAGCAAGACTCCGTCTCAAAAAATAAAAAAAGAAAAAAGAAAAATGAAAACACTCGATGTTCGTGTAAGGATTTGAGCCTCCAGACTCCTCCTGACTTTGCCTTCATGGTCTTGAAATCTCCTAGCTCCCTCCCATAATGCATTCTTTCTCTGAAGATCAGTCAGACAGAATCTGTTTGTCCGTCCAGAAGCTGTGCCATTTCCTGCTGGTTCAGTATTGAGGGTAGGAAACCAAAAGGGACACAAGCAAGTCTCATTATCATTATTTTTTTGAGATAGAGTCTCACTCTGTCACCAGGCTGGAGTGCAGTGGAGTGGATGAATGAATAAATGAATGAATACATGATGAATTGAGGAACTGACCACAGAGAGATGAAAGGCACACCCAGAGGGTCCCCCAGGGCTGAAATGTGGAAAGAAGAAGGTCCTCTTTGGAAAGAGTGCAATGCAACCTCCACCTCCCGGGTTCAAGTGATTCTCTTGCGTCAGCCACCCAAGTAGCTGGGACTACAGATGCGGCCCACCATGCCCAGCTAATTTTTTGTATTTTTAGTAGAGACGGGGTTTCACCATGTTGGCCAGTATGGTCTCAATGTCTTGACCTCGTGATCCACCTTCTTCGGCCTCCCCAAAGTACTGGGATTACAGGCCAGTACTGGTGAGCCACCATGCCCAGCTGCAAATCTCATTAATTTATCTCCTACCCAGACTGTTTCCTGCACGATTTATTTCTCTATTTCATTTTTCTCTTTCATTCATTCATCCATTCATTGATTTGGCAAGCACATCTATTGAGCACTTCCTTGCAAATTCAACATTCTCCAGGGATCAAGGGCACATGCATATACTGGGTGACTAGTGGAGATCATGGCAAACTAGAAAGTACATGTCTGTCTGAAGGGGGCAGCCACTACCCCACCCCAGCTGATTGTTGCTTTGGGGAAATGAAGGTCCAGTGTGCCATGTCTTCCAATTACTTAAAAAAAAACCAGACACCTAGATTTTCATATGAGACTCCCCCCAACCACCTTTTTTGAGACAGGATCTTGCCCAGGCTGGAGTGCAGTGGTATAAACAGGGCTCACTGCAGCCTCAGCCTCCCGTTCAAGTGATCCTCCTGCCCTAGCCTCCCGTGTAGCTAGGACCACAGGTGCATGTCACCACACCTGGCTAACTTAAAAAATATATTTTTTTGTAGAGACAGAGTCTCACTTTGTTACCCAGGCTGGTCTCGAACTCCTGGGCTCAAGCAGTCCTCCTGCCTCAACCATCCAAAGTGCTGGGATTACAGTTGTGAGCCACCATGCCCGACCAAAACTCCCAATTATCAGTATCAGCAACATATTCACATTTTTCTGTGACACAGTAG